CCTGGGCCATCAGCTCATGCTCCACGGTTGAAGATTAACAAAACATTAGCAATATGCTAACCTGAAGCTAATGGAGTTTTTCTGGGTGTTTTTAGCAACAACAAAAAAACGCAGTAGAGCGACTCCAAAGTGAAGGTACCTCTGGCCTGGTTAGTAACGACATCATAATTAGGTAAGCTGACCGAGGATATCAAGCTTTGCTGGTCCACCGCGGTCAAAGATCCACGAGTCCACCGTTGTCAATGCAACACTCTGGGAGTGTTGACTCGGCTACCGGCGCTGTGTCGACACGAAGCCAGGATCAGAGTCGACACTCCCAGATTGCGGTTGAGCGTCTCAAAAGTGAAGCAGCCTCAAATAAAAGAGCTGCAGTGTTTCTGTGGTCTCCATCAGAGATGCACAAGCGACCGGCATGACTAAAGCCTCGCATCGGCGCCGGACCGCTCGTCCCAGGCAGGAGACAGGAGAAGCCGGGCTCCCGCTCATGTTTCTTATCCATCCCCACTAACATGTTTGAGTAAGCAGTTAGATGGCACAGCATCTATTCAACCAGCAAAATAAAGTACAGAAATATAATTTTACTTACTGATAAAAAAAAAAAGAAGCAGAAACTGCTTGGATGATCTGTTAGTGCAGTCAATAACCTCAGCTTGCCCTCTGTGTCCAGATAATTCATGATTAACACCCAAACACGAACACAGAGACAAAACTAAAGTTCAGAGAGCCGAAATGGTCGAACATCTATTAACGTGAGGCCGAGGCCCAGGCTAAGGCATTTCCCTGGAGCTAGCTCAGAAGTCACGTGGCTGATGCTTGTTAAGTATTCAGACTTTTAAGCACTATCATTGTATTTACATTTAAATGAAAGAGTTACAAAAATGCACCATGGCTAAATTGTGATTTCTTAGTAAATATTATATTTAGTAAGAGATAAACTTACTGCCTGTTAAATTCAGAATAGATTTAAAGATCCTCCGTCTCACATATAACGCTCTTAACAATCAAACTCCGTCATACATCAGTGACCTGATTGTTCCATACGTTCCTAACTGAGTACTTCGCCATCAGACTATCTATTATATTCTAAATGTAACAGGCATCCAATGTAGGTAAGCTAAGACAGGAGAGATATGATCTCTCTTTTTAATTCTCATCAGAACTCTAGCTGCAGCATTTTGGACAAGCTGAAGAATTTTAACTACATTCTGTTGACTTCCGGAGAGTAATGAATTACAGTAATCCAGTCTTGATGTAATAAATACGTGAAATAGTTTTTCAGCATCACTCCTGGAAAGGATGCATCTAATCTTAGCAATATTCCAGAGGTGGAAAAAGGAAATCCTACAAACCTGTTTAACCTGGGATTTGAATGACATGTCCTGGTCAAAGATAACACCAAGGTTCCTTACTTTGTTCTCAGAGACTAATTTAATGCCATTCAGGTCAGGTGATTGACTAAGCAATTTCCTTTTCTGAATTTCAGGTCCAAAGATGAGAACTTCAGTCTTGTCTTGATTTAAAAGCAAAAAGTTTTGAGTCATCCAATTTTTTATGTCTTCAAGACAAGCCTGTAATCTAACTAACCTACCTGTAGTTATGCTGCTATAGGCTTACACTGCTGGAGGATACACTGACCACTTTCCACACTCGACTACTTTCTTCTACAACCTGCTCTTTAACTGTATTCTTTCCTGCTATTTCAGCTGTTAACTTTATTTTTTCTCTAAGTGTTTTTCTCCCCAGAAGAAGCTACAATGATGTTCTGCTGAGCTGTGGTAGCCTCATGGAGAGGGCCATCGTCCTGAACACTGTTGCTCACCATTTGGTCATTCTCCCTCTCCTGATAATAACACTTTACTTTCTTTGACATTGAATGTGCTACTACTAGTTTACCCGTTTAAGTAATTATAGATTTGCTAGGATAAATAAAATTAAGTTCATATATTGGACATTTACTAAGAAATCACAATGTAACCATAGAAACACTACTTCATATATATATTGTGTGTGTGTGTGTGTGGGTGGGTGGGTGGGTGTTGGTGTGTGCGTTAGGGCCTGCACGACTTTATTTTTTTTTAAGTCGACAGTCAAGTAATGAAAGTCGAGTCGACTTCGACTAGTCGTTGATGACGTCATACGCCGGAAGCGGCGGGGGGGTCGGTCGGTAGGTTCGCTGGAATTTTTTGACAATTAAAATTGCGCCCACATTTTCTAAGTTAAACACATCTCTTTTAACAACGGTAGTTTCTGCATCCTACTTCAGCCCTCTCCCCCCTCCCCCTGCGCAGCGGCCGCAAACTCACTGATGCGCCTGCAGCCTCTCGGAGTTCCTGCTACTCTAAACATTAAAATAATTATTTCATTTTCTGTTCCTCACTTCTGATTACCTTCAGTGGTGTCTGTTTGTTGCAACCACCAGGTACAAAAACTAACTTGTTTTTATTTGACTATTTTTCTGTCCTGCCTGTTTATTATCTTCCTGCATCTCCTCTCAATCCTAAAGAAAAACTGCTACCTGGGTTCATATATATTCACCTCATGAGTTACCTTTGAACTGCAGTTCTAAAAGATCTACCGACCGCAAAAACAGCAGAGTGCTGCTGCTAGCCGGCAAACTACAACGGGACCGTTTTTGCTGCGGAGTTCGTGCCGGAGCGGAGCGGAGCGGAGATAGTGGAATCTTGGGGGCGCGTCACCGGAGGACAACAGCTGATGCGCATCGCTCCGCAGCAACAAAGCGCATCAGGCACAAATAACAGACAGAAAACATGAAAGGAAATGAGCCGACATGAACGATCGCGTGTTTAATTTGTTTTTGAGGTGGTGACACCTGATTTGGCGGTGCTCAGGACGCAATGTCTGGAGCGCACGTCAGTGATCAGAGCTTTGCATGCACAAACTGGTTAAGATTAGGATGGGGGTGAGGGGAAGGTTAAATTGCAAGAGCGAAAAGGTCACAGTTTGGTTAAATGTCCGTTTTACCACCGGTGTCAGTACCGCACAGTGCGTCGCCTCCGCCTCGATCCAGACGCGCAGGGGCTCGTCACCTGCTGTCTTTTCCGAGGACTGCATCTTGTCAGTCATTATCACGTGACAGCGACTAGTTGATGACAAGCATAAAAAGTCACTACAGAGCTGTGAAGTCGACTAGTCGACTATTTCGTACAACCCCTAGTGTGCGTGTGTCTGCTCTGTCTTCTCGATCCCCAGTGAGTCATGGTGGATGGCTGCTTATACTGAGCCAGGATCCTCTGGAGATTTCTTCCTGTTAAAAGGGAGTTTTCCTCTCCACTGTCGCTAAATGCTTGCTATATGCAACCTGCTGGGTTGCTTATATAGGAAACTTTTTCACTGATTGGCTTAATGAACTGACCTGTATTGGAATGTTTACTGTGTGAAGTGCCTTAAGACAACTTTTGTCCTGATTTGGCGCTATATAGATAAACTTGAATTGAACCGATTTGAATTAAAAAACTCTGGATAACATAGCCTTTTAGATGGAGGCATGTTGGAGGCAGGGCAAGGGAGAGCCGACTTTACCAACCGTACACTCCACCTCCCTCTACTCCCCCACTTGTCCAGATCTAGGCTAACATCAGATTTTAACCATAGGCCCTATCAAATAAAAATGTTTTAAGCCTAGTCTTGAAAGTAGACAAGGTGTCTGCCTCATGGACTAAAGCTGGGAGTTGGTTCCACAAGAAAGGAGCCTGATAACTAAAAGATCTACCTTCCATCCAATTTTTAGATATTCTGGAAACCACCAGTAAACCTGCAGTTTGAGAACGAATCACCACATGTAGGCTAAACCAGGAGCTAACTTTTCTTAGTGGGAATAACTGCACGTTTAGTTAGATGATATTGTTCACATTTTGGCAAATTAAACAAAGTATTAAATTAAATTAATTGTTGATGATATGAAAAGAAATAGTTATAGGCCAACTTTTCATAAAAATATGAAATTGTTCTTTTCTGAAAGTAATAACCCTGTTACTTTAGGCTAAAGTTTTTTATTATTCAAAGGTAATGGTTAAAGAAAGGAGCACTGTTCACATAGTAAGTAATGTTATTAATGTAAAATTAAACTAAATTGTGTCTTCTGCAGAACAATACAGTTCACATGGTGATAACTACACATAATAAAGCAAAGTGTTTTCAACTTTGTGCTCAATATCTTTCTTTTCTCTGCTGATGACCCCCCCCCCCCCCCACACACACACACACACACACACACACACCACAGCCTACCAGGACCATCCAAACAATAAACAACAGTGTAATATCTGCTGGGTTTTAAATATAAAGATTATTAAATGAACGTGTATAAAGTGTACCGAACATTTCAGAGGTCCACAGTTTGCTATTTTGATTTACATTTTGTCTCAAAGATTAATTCAGTTAAACTTTATTGATTCCAATGGAAAATGAATATCTGGCATGTCCTCCAGCATTTGTAGATTTAAAATCCTGATAGCTGCAGAAATTAAGAATGTGCTGATATCAGTCCTATATTGGATTGAGGAGCCACTTACCATCACTGTGTATTGTTTGTATGTAAAGTAACACACAAAAAACATGTTTCAGTTAGATGGAACAAGGCTGGCCAATTATTTATCAGTTTTATGTAAAGCTCCACCAGCAATTAAATAATTTTATGTTGCCACAATAAAATTCTGACATTTCGAACTTGTAATAAAAATGTACACATGTAACTTGATTTAAAGGCAAGTTTTGAATCTACAGTTGCAATTAAACACGCATCCTTCAGAGGGCGCTGTCTCAACAACAATACAAGCCTGAATCAGCAGTCGGCCTGAAACTGCTGTTGTTCTGAGGCAGTGCAAATCCTCCGGTGGCCATAAGATGTCAGTGTTGTGCAATGTTTAGAAACAACCAAAATGCCCTCTTTTCGGAAAACTACCGTTTGTGGCACGGTAGAGCAATGCATTATGGGGAATTGAGTTGTTTCGAACATAATGAACCGGTTAAAAGATGACTAAAGCACTGTAAAACGACTACAAGTCCCATGAAAACCCGTGGGAGTCGTTCGGACGTCTGACGAATAGAGGTGACCCTTCAGTCTAGTCCGACTCAGAGTAGGCAGGAAAGGCACAGCTTAGCTACAGCAAATTCGTCCTTTAGCAGAAATGGTAAGAATGCGCACAGCTCGGTTAGAAGTACCTCCATTTGCTTTAATACACCTCTGATATCGAAGTAGATCGTAGAAACGTTAGAAAATGTGTTAATGATTTGTAAGCTGGCAGAAACGAAATCATTTGTTTCAGTTTGTGGAGAAAAGCTAAAGTTGGTGTTAACAGTTGTAGTTGAGCTAAAATGGTGCCCGTCTTCGTCACAGCTTCTAAACCTTCGGTCTGTGCTTCGGTGTTAAGGTAGATATGATGAGAACAGGTCGGTTGTTTCGTGTCGGTGCTGCCTACTTTTGCATCCATTTTAGTAAGATGCGAGTGGCGTGGCATTAACGTCAAGTCACGTGACATGTCTTCTCTTGGGTTAGCCAATCAGAACAAACCTCTCACCTGGTTGAACTTCGGTTTTCATGTTAAGGTTAAACGACCCGAGTTACAGGCCGTTTTTGATCAAGTCAGAAACTAGAATGAATATATATATATGTATATATATTAGGGATGTAAGAAAATATCGATATGGCAATGTATCGTGATATTTTTTCCAGCAATATTATATCAATATTCAAAAGCTGTGTATCGGAAATATCGATATGGCAATATATCGTGATTTTTTTCCTGCGATTATTACATTGATTTTCAAAAGTCGTGTATCTAATTCTTGAAAGAATTTACATGCAAACATGTGTGTATTTTCTTTTCGTTTTGTGCAATTCAATCACCACCCGCTAGCTGGCAGCAGTGTGCAACGGGTTTTGTTTCCACCATTGAAATGTAAATCCCTCCATCATGGTTCAGATACCTCATGTTAAACATGTTACATAACAGTTTGGACTGTTTATTGAACATTCTTACAATAAATTCTGTAAAAAAATTGCTTGTAACGTCTGACTGAATGTATCGCAATATATCGTGATCGAATCGTATTGCCAGAATTTCAAAAATACACATCCCTGATATATATATATATATATGGTGTGTGTGTATATATATATATATATATATATATATATATATATATATATATATAGATATAGATAGAGGGAGAAAGAGAGAGGGGTGTGTGTAATGGGACCCAGCTGGCTGGTTAGATTTTCATACACTTTATTCTCCAGTCATCCAACCGGTGAAGCGACTACTGGATTCTGTCTCCGCATGTTTCTGTGATACATCTATGTGCTAGCCCACTGAAACATTCCTACTTTTCCCTTCCAGGCTGAACCAATCCGTGTTCTGGTAACTGGTGCTGCCGGCCAGATTGCCTATTCCCTGCTGTACAGCATCGCCAAGGGAGATGTGTTTGGGAAGGACCAGGTAAGACTCATGCTGTGGTGATGTAACCCTCTGGAGCAGCAGGAAAAACTCGATCGTTGCTCAGACAGCTGAGCAGAGCAGCGGTTGTAATGCTTATATAATGAGCTTTACATGGAAAACACTGATTGGTGGGATGCCTCTGGCCTAATCCTAGTGCTCATTTTTACCAGGAACTAGTGGAAATATTTTATCTCTAGAAAGATTGAAACTTATCAGATTTTCTCACTCTGATTTGCTGATTCTTAACCAAAATATGCTACAGGGAGCAAGATTACATGAGATGAAGGTTTTTGAGTGGTTGCTTACATATCACCCCTATACGTCACTTTTGTCTTGTCAGATGTCAGTACCATGGATTCTGCCTTTGAGCTGTAACTCAGATTTGTGTGGTTGTTGTTTTTCCCACATCGTTTTATTCACAGCTGACATGCTGTGTTCTCCATCCTGTCCTCAGCCAATTATCCTGATCCTGCTGGACATCCCCCCGATGCTGCCAGTGCTGGACGGAGTCGTCATGGAGTTGCAGGACTGCGCCCTCCCCCTGCTGAGGGGTGAGCTCACAATCCTTATGGGCTCGACACACGGGAGGCGACCTCGCCTCTCCTCCATTCATTTTCAATGCACGACAAAGCCATAATCGCGGGTCTCCCTCCTACTAAGCGAAACGCGAAAAACGTGCGTGTGAAATTTTGCGCACGTGTCGTGCACAGGCGACCCAGCGACGCGATCCCAGAAAGTTGAAACATTTTCAACTTTTCATCGCTGTCGCTCGGACGAGGACCAATCAACGGAGGTTTCATTCACTGACCAATGAGCGGACAGGATGCTCCGCACATCTCTGAGCAAACATGGACTCCGTTTGTCTGTGACTGTGTTTATCTTAATGTGAGGTCCGAGGGTAGCCCTCTCCTGGTTTGTAATATGGGATGAACCCATTCTCGGTTATTATTTGTTTTATAAAGTAAAATCAGAAGTAAGATTTCACATAACTCTAGCAGCACCTTGTGAAACATCACATCTACCGCTTTTTTAACTTTGAACCGCTTAAATAACCTTAATTCCCTCCGACCTGACACAGCCAATCAAAACAACGGAAGATTTGACTTTGCCATGGAACGGAATGCGTCAACGGCTTTGCCGCTGCGGCGGGTCGCCTCCCGTGTGTCGGGTAATAAAAGCGACAGAGACGAATTTCGCTGATCGCAGTCGTTTGTCGCCTCTCGTGTGTAGAGCCCATTATGCATCTCAGCTAGAGGAACTTCTGCCTAACAGGTTAGCCTTTATAAATTAGGTCTTTTAAAGCTTCAGACAGAAAGACACAAATATTCTGCTGCTTTTGCCTAAATGATTGGGTGGTAAAAGTAGCTGGATAGAAACTTTCCTGTTTGTTTACCGTCGCGTGTTGTCAAAGCAAACAAGAGTAGAGGTGTTTAGCAGAATTCTGTGGGCCTTGGTGTTATTTTTCCTTCAGAAGGTCTGAGCAGGAAACTCCACTGCTGTTGAGCTCAGGACGAAGGAGTGCCCTTCAACCAGGCTCCTGATTGGCTACTGGCTCGGCCAATCAGAGCTGCTGTGGGACAACAAAGAACAGGAGAGATGTGAAATCTGACTGAAGTTCAGTCTGTTATCAGCTTAACGTCCATTAATCTTATCAATAGAATGAGCTGAAGTAGCAGACGTCTATCCTCATGATCGATTAGTCTAGAGAAGGAACGTTTGGTGTGACCTGATGAATAAAAGGTCCAGCCGCACAACCATAAAACACAGATGCTAACATAAGTGACTCGACTGAGGGAAACAAAAGCACACAGAGAAAACAGGGGCTAATTACCATCTTCTGCCCCCCCACAGAGGTCATCCCAACTGACAAGGTGGAGGTGGGCTTCAAGGACCTTGATGCAGCCATCCTGGTGGGCTCCATGCCCAGGAAGGAGGGGATGGAGAGGAAGGACCTGCTCAAAGCTAATGTAGCCATCTTCAAGACACAGGGAGCTGCCCTGGACAAGTACGCCAAGAAGACCGTGAAGGTGACTTCTCTTGCTGGGTCTTAGCATGTTTTATCAGGACTCTGGTCATCAACCATCCAGGTGGATTTTGTTATTTGTATTTTTTTTTTTAATTAAAGCAAGATTAGAGAGTTTCCTGCTTGTCCCTCCTACTGGCTGTAAGCAGAATTACAACTATCATAAACAACCTTGCCACAGCCTGCTGTAGCTAGCGCTAACGACAAGCTAACTGATACTAAAACAAGCCACAAAATAAAACAAAAAATGTTATTACTCATAAGTCCATTAGCAACAAAGCCAGGTCATCATCAGTCCTGATTTTGTAGCCTCATTAAGCTCCCTTAGAGTGTAGACCACGCTGGTACACACTCTGGTTTTAGCTCTTTGATTCCTCTCCATAGATATTACTTTTTTTCTTCTATATCTAGGCTCTGCCATGATGCCAACAAAAAAAAGGGTGTTTCTCAATGTCAAAGAGCTTGGCCTAGCAAGGTACAGACTTGGATCATGTGACACGTGAGGTAGAGTTGTATTTTATACGTGTATGTTTCAATATAAATGTATAACGAGCCTTTCACTTTTTTAAATGTGTATAGGTTAAACTAAATATGTAAACAAGTTACTACCTGCTGGCCACCAAAGCTGCAACTATAACCAACCATAGCCAACTGCTTTTGATCTAAAAAGCATTTTAGACATCAGACCGGTAGCTACAGCTAGTTGAATTACATTTAAACTGGAAATCTGCCCTTGAAGTAGCTGCTGGCTCCTGATCTACCGTCCTTTTGAAAATGCCGCGCTGAATTCTGGGGAATTTTTGACAAAGGCCAGGGTACAAGACACCTCCCGTGTATTCTTCGTCAGCTAGCTAAACGGCTAACAAGTGGAGGACCGACTCCTCCGCAGCACATGAACATTGGACCACACCTAAGCAGTTCCTAATGGCATATCTCCTAGGCAACAGGGCGGGGCCAGTTCACAAGACAAGAATCCTTGACTTTGAGAAACGCCCAAAATTCTTCTTATTCTTGTGCTTTTTAGTCAGCAAACTGAAAAATGTAACTGCTAGCCTTTATATGAGCTACTGGCACAGTAAACAGCTATTGCCACACAGCAGGAGAGACCTCCCACTATGGCACTTTCACACTAGCATCGACTCCACTCCGCCTGGACCGGGTTGGGAGTGTTCTTGTTTCCCCCGCTTAACCAGATGTCTTTTCAACCCTCTTCCCAAGGAGGTCTGCCTGGAGCCGAACTGGTCCAACACACACACACACACTGCTGACTGATTTGGCCTGCTCAAACTCACGCCTACTTTTAAGCTTGGTTTATGCTTGACGCATTCACTTTCCGCGCGGTGATGCGGCTCACAGATGGAACGCGCTTCACAACTCGCAGCGTTTACGGTTCATGCGGCTTGTCTCTGCGGTGAGCCAATATTCTCCCAAACTGTAGGGGGCAGCATCGAGCTCTACGGCATGCATCCAACACTACACCATAGTAGAAGTAGAAATTACTGTTTACAACATGGCATTTCAGCATTTTTTAACAGCGTCCTCGTGTTTTCCGACAGTGCGAGCTATTTCTCTCCAAGAATTATTAACAACATGTTGATCACGGTGATCTCTGAGAGCTGAATCATACAAATGTCTGTATTTACCAACCTTTGCCATACTAGTTCTTGCCAATCCGCCATGTTTTTCCGCGTCCGACCGTCCGCGTGGTTAGAAAACGTCCTAGGTGCGCGTTGCGGAAATTTTGGGCCGTGCGGGGGCGTGGTTGTTAAGATGACGCAACTTTTCCGCACGGAGTCGTGCGGACCTCGCGGACGCGTCAAGCATGAACCAACCTTTAGAGGGAGCCTCAGATTGTTGGATAGAATAAGCCCGCCTGGGCTTCCTGCACCATTCTGGATGCTGTGGTGTTAGCGAGCCTCTGACTGAAGCTGTTTTTCTCTGTCGCTCGTTGGTGTGAGGCGCACGCACGCACACACACACACACACAGTGCTGCCAGACACCACAAAGCAGGAAGCAAAATCAGAGTCAGAGTCTCCAAAAGCAAGTCTGCTCAGGCCAGTTTTGTTTAGTAGTGAGACATCGCAGACTTCTCCACGCTCTTCTTTTCCCCGCCCACGTGCTCGGAGATGCGCCCATGACATCACAGGCCACAGACCGCCCATGTTCTCAATCACGTCCACGTTCATAAGGCAGTGTGGAACAAACACGGCCAGGCTGGGGCGGGCGGAGCCGATGCTAGTGTGTAAGTGGCTTTAGCGTTCACATCTGAACCACAAAACTGTTCAGTGCCGTTTCTGGGCAGCAAAGGGCTTTTCAATGGGAAGTTGCTCACATTCATGGCTCAAGATCCACTGAAACCAGCCTGTAAGCAATAGCTTAAAGTTTCACGAGCTTGTGTTGCTTTAATTCAGCTGATAGACAGGAAGTGAACGTGCCAACTCAAGACTTTCCTGCCTTCAGAACAGTCAGACAGTTCTGACCTCAGCAGCTTTCAGTTTCAGTCCTCTAAAGCGCTGGGTTGGAGGGTTTGTTGTGCTGCCACACAACTTTACTGGAGTTTGTTGGAGCTGGGGTGTTTTGACTGATGAAGCAGCATTTCTAGAGGTTTCTGTTCTCCACCCTGTCAGGTTCTAGTGGTTGGAAACCCAGCAAACACCAACTGTCTGATTGCCTCCAAGTCAGCTCCATCAATCCCCAAGGAGAACTTCTCCTGCCTGACTCGACTGGACCACAACAGAGCCTGCTCCCAGGTACACACACCCTCCACCTGTCACCTGTTTCAAGCGCTTCTGCAGCTCAGATCCTCTTTCACATTATTACAACTATACGCCAACATGCGATGAGGTCTTAGCGAAGCTTGTGTGTTCACGAGCAACGTTTCTCATCTGTGGAACGAATGAAGCCAGAGAAACGTGACTGATGCTGGAGATGATGGGTGTCAGGACTCCACAGCTGAGGTCAAACTGATGATTAGACAAACGTAGCCTGATGTGACCTGATGGGTCTGGATTCGCCCGTCGTGAGGAGCCGATCTGACGTCGGACGGATCCCGAAGTGTTTTAGATTAGAAACGTGACGGTCCTAAAGGAACAGCCGGATTCTTAACACCAACATCTAAATATAGTTTAATGGGAGCAAACAATGGCGTGTAGGGATGGGGACCGAATTCGGTACCCATTGTTGTTTCAAACGGTGCCTCGTTTCGGTACCCGTCCTTCATAACGAGAACTTGCCTAGACAGCTGCGCATGCGCAAGAGCGTTATGTCATCGGTCGCTGCGAGCCAGTTGTAAACAGAGCAGCATGTAGAAAGAACGCACGCTAAAGCTTGGGTCCACTTCACTAAATGTGATGGGTAACTGGGTGATGATGAAACCAGCGACAACGATCTAAGTGAGACATCCTCATCTTAATCTGCTCCGGTAGGTAAATAAAATGTTTCAGATAACGTTAGCTTGATATGTTAGCTTCCGTTTCACTAATGGTGCGTTCGCTTTCTCCTCGGAACTCCGAATTTCCGACTAGAAGAACATGAACACGCTCTAAAGTTTGGCTTCACTTTACTAAATGTGACGGGTGATTGGGTGAAGATGAAACCAGTGACAACGATCTAAGTGTGAGGCATCATCGTTTTAATCTGCTCCAGCAGCTAAATAAACTGTTTAAGATAACGTTAGCTTGATATGTTAGCTTCCATTGCCACCGTTGTTATCAGCTAATGGTGCGTTCGCTTTCTCCTCGGAAATTCTAACTTCCCAGTAGGAAAAATCAAATGAAAAAAGACAGTAAAAGGAATGAAGATACACAGTAAATTTAGTTCACAGTACAGATGTTTGCTTCAGTTTAATTATCAGCTTATAAAACTACAAGGACCATGTTAAAATACAACCAGTTGTATGTTATTTATCGTGATATTTGTCAAATATTGTTATTATTTAATTTTAAAAGAGAATTAAAATAATAAACACTCAAAAGTATCGAAAATTGGTACCGTTAAGTACCGGTATCGATTCCTAGGTACCGGGAATTAGTACCGGTATCGATTCAGATGTCAAAGGTACCCATACCTAATGGTGTGATTGTTGCCTGAAACAAAATGAGACTGACTGGTTTATTTCTGTGGTCAGAGGGTTTTGTGAGGTTAAAGGAGCTCCTCTGACCTGCAGGTGGCGATGCGCTGCAGCGTCTCCGCCGACAACGTGAAGAACGTCATCATCTGGGGAAACCACTCCTCCACTCAGTATCCTGATGTCCACCACGCTAAAGTAAACCTCCACGGCTCCGAGGTGGCCGCCTACGAAGCTGTGAAGGACGACAACTGGCTCCGAGGAGACTTCATCTCTGTGAGTGCTCGGCCTGTTGTCCAGCTGGGTGGAGAAACCAGTAAAGAAGAGCATAAACCAGTTTAAACCTGTCTGACTTCCTCCCGCAGACGGTGCAGCAGCGAGGAGCTGCCGTCATTAAGGCCAGGAAGCTGTCCAGCGCCATGTCTGCTGCCAAGGCCATCTGTGACCACATGAGGGACATCTGGTTTGGCACCAAGGAGGTGAGTGGGCAGCGAGGACGTGTCAGCAGCAGGAAGTTCTCGCCTCTGCTTCACGTCACAAACTATTTGGTTTACAGTGATCCCTCGTTTATCGCGGTAGATGCGTTCCAGACCTGGCCGCGATAGGTGAAAATCCGCCAAGTAGGGACTCCCAGCATGCCCCTCGCGGGGATTCCCTCCACGTCGCACCTACGTCACAAACCGCGGCTATAAACGGAAGTCGCCTTTCCAGCTCACCACCCAGTCATCGTTTCTTCAGATTCATGATCAGAGTTTCCAACCTACCGATCAATCCAACGAACTATCAGCTCATAGTAAGTTATCTTACTTACTTCTGGAAAGCCCGGCATTTCCGTGTCACTTCGTTGACGCTCGAACGCTCGGGGGTTTCCTAGATCAGCCGGCGTTTCACCGACGCTCTCACTTCCGCGTTTGTGAAACCACGCTCCCTACAAGCTCAGCTCCCGAATCCAGCCGACCTGTCTGACATACAGTACTATATTGAATTATCGTATGATCACATTCTCTTTTTGTGGGTAAAACTCAAGAAAAAAAATTTTTTACTTGGTTTTTTTTATAGTTTTATTACAAAAAGTGCATTTTATGATGAAATTGATGAAAAAAACAGGAATTTCTTGATATTTCGCATAGAAAAATACCGCGAATCGGTGAAAAATACCACGAATTGGCGAATTTCTCTTGAATAAGGCTCCAAAAAAATCCGCGAAGTCGTGAATCCGCGATAAACGAACCGCGAAGTAGCGAGGGATCACTGTATTCTACTTCTATTTAAACACCAAACTCAGCTTAGTAGAAGAAAAAGAAGCAGCCGTGTAAGTGAAACTAAAGCAGCTGCACGTGCAGGGCGAGTTCCTCTCCATGGGTGTGTATGCTGCTGGAAACTCCTACGGCATCCCAGACGACCTCATTTACTCCTTCCCTGTTCAGATTAAGGTGGGCCTGTTTGTCTTCTTTTCTTTTATTTGTCTAATAAAGTATAAAGTCACTCTAACACAACTCCAGATCTGTCTAAATGACCGTTGCAGCCATATTTGTGTTTGCTAATGTGAGTTTTAGGCTTCGATGTTCGTTCTGAGATGATTATTAAACATGGTGGCTCGTCTTTAGCCTTCAGGCAGCAGGCGGGAACGCGTAGACAACAAGGTCATTTAAGATTTCCCTCCGTCGTCTTGCACAGAACAAGACCTGGAAAATAGTGGATGGGCTTCCCATCAACGACTTTTCCCGAGCTAAAATGGATGCCACCGCGTCGGAGCTGGTGGAGGAGAGAGATACCGCCCTGGACTTCCTGTCCCAGTGACTAGAGTCACCTGCAGGTCAGCAGCAGCCTGCAGATCTTCCAAAGGCCTGCTGCTCTCGGCTCTGAACATGACGCCCTTCGTTAATGTAAACCTTGTGTATGTGTGTGTGTGTGTGTGTGTGTGTCGCTAGGCCACTGTTTCAGCTTTACTGAAACCTGCTGTAACCTCTACATCCTGGCCTCTTCTATCTGCAGAGGAAAGCTGTAACAGAACATCTCCATAGTAAAAAAAACAGCCCGAGTCTTTGTGTCTTTCATGTCTCCATCACACAGCACGTGTTTCACTCAGAGTACAGCTGCTGTGCTCGTCTAGATGCCGAGTAGCAACGTGAACTCCAGCTGGAGCGCTTCAGGCCAGATGTGAAAGTGATGCAGCCTCAACCCTCCAGCGTGGTTACACTGGAACACGACCGAACACACACACCCTGAAACGTCTGTCGGATAATTAAATGCCATTTCTGTGAGGTGTGGTTATTTCTTCACTTCGTGTCATGAGCCTCCAGGGTGCAGCATCTACTCTGTTATCCCATCGACGTGTGTGTGTGTGTGTGTGTATACATATATACCATTTATTTGGTTAAACCCGTTTTTCTTGCTTTTAGTTAGATTTTTCTTTTTTAATGTCAGTTTAGATTTTATAATCCTTTTGCTACAAACTTTTAAACATGCTGGTGAATCTTCTAGAGTCATCCAGGTCATGGTGATCCAAAGGGTTCAAACTTTTAAATGTTTTTTGTTTATGAAGCTGTCTCAAAGAGGACAGACATTACCTACAAAAACGTTTGAAGTCGAAACTACAAACAAAAGTTCAGCTCCGTCTTTGAGGTAACATATTTTTTTGTTAACAGTATATGTTTATTACAGTTTCTCATGGCGACAACACATAATGAACATACAAGGCATCCTTAGTACCAATAAAAGAAAAATAAACTTAAAAAGAGGCACTTATATCACAAAGTAAAAACATTGTTACAAGATTAATCATTTTCGTGCAGCATGACAAAAGGCTTTTGCAGTTGCGTTGGAATTTTTTATACGAATCAAAGTGAATAAGAACATACGGAATTCATTTATGAAACAGTTCATGTTTGGCTGTTGTTTTTTCCATTTGCTTTTGTGGATGTGGTATTTACCCATAATAATAATAATAATAATGTTAATTAACGATGAATTATTCCCATTTAACAGGACAGCTGAAAAACAAGTGTTCTGTTGCTTCAGGGCTTCCCTGACAGAATTCACAAGGGCCAACTTCAAAACCAAATCTGTGTGTGTGTGTGTGTGTGTGTGTCTTGAGGTAAAAATAGATGTTCAGCCCGGCAGATGGGCCGTTTCCGGGGTGGGCGGGGAATTACGGTTTGACTGACAGCGGTCATTGACCAATAGGCGCTTTGATTACAGCTCATTCAGGGACGTAGAGAAGCATCCGGCTGTCGGCTTGTCCTCCACATGGATTTGCATATAAATGTTTATAAATACTAATCCTGATGCGATGGGAATGTGCGACAAAAGTCCAGAAAGGCTGAAATGTTTCATATTAATTGTACATAAAATTATTTGTGTCCCGTTTTCCCTCTGAGCGTTTTAGTGACTGATGTTGTGGTAACACCTGGTTTGTCATTTTGTTGTTTCTTAACTCTCCAGCAGGTTTTTACTGTGTTGTTGGATTTATTTTGCGCATGCGTGATTTGCATCCAACGGACCAGGCCCTGTGGTGTTGGGGCTTCGGAGCGTTGGGGGCGTGAGAGTGCAGCTGAAGATTATTGGTTGCGGGACGAGCCACCGGCTCGGCGCATAATGACCGGGAGATAACGTTTCACTCGCTCTCTCCAGTCAGTGTTCTTGTACTTGTGTCTGACCGAGTCTCCGGGATCGTGAGTGGTTGTCAGCCCCGGGCCGACCTGCTGTCCGGAGCTCCCCGTCACTGCAGGTGGGTTGGAGCTTTGCTGCCTGCGGCTCTGGTGCACCAGTTTAAGAAGCACGTAGTCAGCCTGCTGTGTGTGTGTGTGTGTGTGTGTGTGTGTGTGTGTGTGTCAACAACAAGCACGCATCTTCATGAGAAGGCAGGTGAAATAAGTAGGTGAGTCTGATCTTTATTAGGTCAGCTCATTAGTATTTGTGGTTATTAGACGTTTGTTTGTTATTTGGGTCATTGACCCCCCCCCCCCACCACCACACACACACACACACACACAGGGTCAGCCTCCATAGATCCAGGCAACAACTTTTTTTGTGCATCGATCAGCATTATTCCTACATTAGTTTCCATTTTAAGTCAAACGTTGAACGAAAACAGCTGATAGTGAAACATATACACACACACACACACACACACACACACACACATATATATATATATATATATATATATATATATATATATATATATGAATATGAATAACAACATGCAGGAATCGGCTGTTACTTTAGAATCATTCTGAATATCAGATCATTTCTGTTCTGATAAAACCTGAGAAAGGAACAATGGTGGACTTCTACTGTAATAAGGCATTGATAGCATTGAGCGCTTTGTGGCATGGTGTGGAAACAATCATCTGACCTTGAACGTGAACAAAACAAAGGAGATGATTTTAGACTTCAGAAGCAACAGGGTGGAGTCAAACACTGTTTCCATCATGGGAGAAGAAGTGGAGGTGGTTGAGGAATACAAATACCTTGGAGCATGGACGTCATTTTTGGGGGGGACAGGGGGGGACATGCCCCCCGCCCCCCCCACTTTTTCCAAAGTCAAGTTATGACCCCTGACCTTTTTACCATCCAAAAACAATATTACGCTATATTAAGTTGACACTGGTTGAGCTCTAGGACCAAGCAGAAAACAACCGTTTCTGTTGAAGCCTGCTTCCCATTAGAGCATACTGTAATCCCCCCCACCCCCCACCCCCCGCCGTCCCCTCCACTTCTAAAGTGAAAATTACGTCCATGCCTTGGAGTTCACCTGGACAACAGACGACTGGAGAAAGAACAGCGAAGCTGTTTACAAGAAGGGACACAGCAGACTGCACTTCTTGAGGACGCTTAGGTCCTTCCGTGTCTGTAGCAAGATGCTGCAGATCTTCTACAAGTCTGTTGTTGAGAGTGTAATCTCTTCAGCCATCGTCTGTTGGGGTAGCAGCATCAGAAGCAGGGACCTGAAAAGGCTCAACGGCCTAATAACAAAGGCTGGTTCTGTTCTGGGGACGACTGTGGAACCACTGGAGGAGATAATGCAAAGAAGGATTCTCCAGAGAATCAAGAAAATGATGGACAACCCTGAGCATTCTCTTCACAAGACTGTCCGACAACAGAAGAGTGTCTTCAGTCAGAGGCTTCTTCAGTTTGGCTGCAACACTGACCGCTACTGGAGATCCTTCCTGCCAACAGCCATTGTAATATACAATAACTCTTTGATGACTTGATTATTATTATTATTATTATGGGATTAATAAAGTATTTTTGAATTGAATTGAATTTGAATAGAACTTTCTCACGCGTGTGTAACTACTTTGTAATTAAGACTAATTGTTAGAACTTATATAGAAAACAGTTGTTTACATCCATAAATCCTGCAAATTCATCTAGATTCAGAAGAAATTTATCACCAGTGTCTCACCATTGACCTTTCAAGTGTTTGGCAGGGTGAAATGGTAGTAGGCAGGACACACACACACACACACACACACACCAGTTGTGTGTGTGTGTGTGTGGGTTGGCCTTGTGGGAAGCTCTGGGCCACAGCAGCTGCACGTTAGTGAGCTTCCCGTGGTCTGAGAATGAAGAGGACGTGATTGTTCTGGGACCATCACTGGGTTTTTACTGGTCTCATGGATTTCATCATCAGCTGATTTCATTCTAACCTTATCACTGTTAGTCGGTCGGTAAACAGGCTGCAGCAAAATGTCTCTGACTGTAGCAGGTAAGTGTTAGAATTAAAAAGGTGTGTGTGTGTTGGGGGGGGGGGGGGGGCTTTGTTCACACACTTTCATCCTGTTTGGACAAAAAAAAAAAAAACGGTGAAGGATTTCAAAGAAAGAATTGATTTCCACAAATGTCCAAACTGTCTTCCTCTAAGATTCTTGTGAACAACCAAATTTCTGTTGATGTGAGAAATAAAATGTCTGCCTTAGATGACATCATCGTACTATAGAAACAAACTCTAATGCTTGTTTTATAACTTACAACCTGACTGTTTTCTGTTTGGAGTGAACCAGGCAGCAGGAAGGAGATGCTGCTTTTGGCTCAGCCTCCTGGCTGATTGTCTCTTTGACTTTGTGGTTCTCCGAGATCTCCTGAAGATCCGTTTGTGTCCCCAGCTCTCACCAGAGGAGCGATGACGGAGTTTGAGCAGAAGCTGCGTCAGCAGCACGAGGAGTCGATGCACGCCGAGCTGGAGGCGCTGCTCGCCACCGCCGGGAGAGCTGAAGCAGAGGTCGGTTCGGCTCTACTAGACAGTCCCACTGCAGGGGTGAAAGGTCACGGGACAGGTGCCCACGGCCTCGTTCCATTTCCAGATTTAATTCTGCTGCTCTGTAGGGTTCAGTTCAACAGAAACGAGGTTCGGTTTGAAACACCGGGTCGTGTAAATTACAGCTGGGTGTGGTAACGTGACTCAGATACTTTGATCTTTTATCCATTTAATAATTATTCAGATTATAATCAAGCTGCTCATTCGATCCTTGTTCAAAGGAGTCATCTTACATCCTGTACAAAAACCAAAGCTAACAATTCCTCTCAGCCTCCTGCCTCAGTCACTCGTCTGAGCCTATAGCAGCATAACTAAAGGGATGAGCCGAAACTAGAAGATTTATCACAAAGGTACGTCTGAAGCCTTGTCCTAAAAGCAGACAGGGTTTCTGCATCATGGATGGAAACTGGAAGCTGGTTCCTCCATAGAGGAGCCAGAGAGCTAAAGGTTAGAACCTCCAGAACTCCAGCCGGCAGCACCAGAACCAGGGTGGCGAGACGTTTGGATAGTTCTGATCTTTCCTCCCAACACTCACCAGATCAGTTGGAGCCTCTTAGCATAGAAATCTAGACAGACAGTAGCAGTCTGTAATAAATGCACGAACCAGTTCAGACATGTTTTTTATGAGAGCAGATCCTGGTCCAGATTTCTGGTGGAACAAGAGTCACGGCCTCACTTATCTGTGTTTACGTGTGTTTGAGTTAATATTTGCAAAGTATTACAACATAGAGTCCCGTTAGGCCTCCTGCCTGAACACACAGCTCAGACCTAGGGGGACTGGAGGGGAACCACCCAGAGTTCCTGACCCCATTAAAGAAAGCTTCCTGAACAGCCTTAGTGCAGAGACATAGCTTCTATGCCTTATGGGATGGATTAGCTAACCGTTAGAAGCCAAAACCAGAGCTGGTTTAAGTCGGCGGCGGTGTCATGTGGCTCCATTTCCACCATATTGGTGAGCTACAAATGGCTTGTTCAGCCTCCAGCTGCCATCTTAAAACACCACAGCCTTTTATAATGATGTCATTTCCTAAAACATTACAACACCATCGCATCACATTGTTCTCGACGGACAGATGAATGTTGATCTCGGCTGGACTTGACCGCCGCCGCACCGCTAACGATACGATCGGGCTCTGTTTTTGCTGCAAGTTGCTTCTGGGACACATCAATTTCTGCAGTTAACACAGGGCTAGACAAGAAATCACACATTTTTTCACTGTAAAATCCCCATTTTCAAAATAAAAGTATTGCAGTGATGCAATTTCATATATATGAGGCCTAGTCCACACGTAGCCGTTTTTTTTTTAAACGAATATCCGCCCCTCCAAAAACTTGCATCCACACCACCTCGTTTTAAAAAAATACTCTGTCCTCACGTACCCGGATAAATACGTTGTTAAGGACATGCCAGACCTGTAGGCGGCAGCACTTCCCCCGTTCTTAACCTCGTCCTTCGTCTGTGGTCTTCTGCAACGAGCAGTAATTCCGCTTGTAAAAACAAACAAGCAGAAAGCGCTTGGACAATTGATAAAGCGAGCGCAGCTCTGAGGGCATCCATGCTGTCGGCTAGTGTAAACACAGGTCGCACACGTGATGTCAGCATTTTTTTGTCGCGGAAAGTGACGTTGCGGATCTTAAAACTCCGGTTTTGTCTGTCCACACGCAGACACCCAAAACGGAGAAAACGCAGATCTTCACTTTGGCCGGAGTTTTTAAAAAGATCCGTTTTCGTGTGAAAAAACTCAGTTTTCATGTGGATGACAGGCCAAAACGTAGAAAAATATCTACGTTTTGGCAGATCCCCGGCTACGTGTGGACAGGGCCTGAAGCTTACGTGCGACCCAGCGGTTTATTTACTCCCAGCATCGTTCCAGAAGAGCAGCGGTGTGTTTAATGGCTTTACTCCTGGCAGTGGAGAGGAACAACACCATTTATGACACCAAACAGCGATATCAAATGAGATTTCCTTCTTTTTGGTTTAATGGTGGATTGCATAAACAAACCGTGACCTGAAGTCTGGAGGGATCTTGTGATCTCACGAGTCCAGCGAGTAAACCGTTCCGCTGCCGTTTTGCATCGCTGATGCTTCCAGTGTGAAACCAGAGTGAAGCTGTTTTATACACGTTGGTCAACAAGCCATTTGCTCATCAATCCTGAATTACTTAACCTCTGTTTCTCCAAACTGAGGCCATTCACTAAGTTATCAACAACAGATACGATGACAGGTGTTTCTAACCTTGACTTATAGACTTGAGAATAGTTGCAAGCAGGACTCGTGTTTGCCACGCGTTCATCAGGATCCTGAATCGCTGTCATTTGTTTCTTGTGTGAAAATCTTTAAGTGCGAACGTCGTTTGTTCTGACAGCAAATGTTTTTGTGTGATGTGTTCTCTTTCAGGTCTCCAGGAAAGATTTCAGTGGCTTCAAGAACCTCTTCCACAGATTTCTGCAGGTCAAAGGTCCCTCGGTGGAGTGGGCCAAGATCAACCGCCCCCCCGAGGACTCGGTAAGGTCCAGATAACTGCAGCATGTCTCCAGCCTTGGAGCTCACGCTACGACCCGGTTCAGATGTCTGGACTAGTTCGTATGACGATGTCCGACGACGCAAACTAGAGTTTCATTATCTCCATTCAGAGGGTTAGCCACGCTGTCCTCTTACAGCTTTTATTCATCAGAAACTTCAATTATTATTTCAACTACGCGCCCTCTCATAGCTTCAAATGTTTATTTCCTGTGACAGAGACATTTAGTGGCGTGAGGCCTGCGCTGGCTTTAGGTGATGCAGTTCCTGCAGGTTTCTTTACCCTCAGATCATCCAGACGGACCCTGCTGACTCACCACAGCTTAAGCAAGAACTAGCAAACAGTGCCTGCCTTCATGCTTTTTAAGAGCAATTGCTTGCAGTGAATAGAGGTTTCTATGCAACTGCTATCTTAGTGTGCCTGGAGGGTCGGGTTAGCTCACCGTAGTTTCAGGTCTCACTCTAGATAGCAGGACTGAGCCGCAGTCACAGGATCAGTTCCTGAGCTTCGATCTTCAATGAGTTTTTGCAGGAGCATTTTTGTCTCTGAAGCAGCAAAACCAAAATAAACCAGTTAGTTTAAAAGCTAAAATTTCTCTAACATTTGCCGAGGTGTTGAACGCAGTTCGGTTCACCTCCAGACTTTGTGTCTCTACCCAAAATGTGTGACTGTTCCTTTAAGTGTTCCAAGAGAGTAAGAGTCACACTCCAGAAACAAGCGAGTGGAACCAGATCTACCATGGGTTAGACACACGCATGCACACACACACACACACACACACACACACACACACACACACACACACACACACAGCTAAGAATAACCTGCCCTCCACAGCATTCACATTTATTTTAGGAGAGACGCTGCATGACATTTGTCTCCTGTGGACGTTTGTCTCCATACCCATCCACCCCGCGACCTTCAGCACCTCATTCCTACTGCTGCTAATAATCACTCAGCCGTGCAGGTCATGGACGTCTTTTCTGGTGCTGTTACAGGAGTGTGATCTCCATCCACCGAGTGCACCAATGCAAGACATACTCACATGGTTATTTTCCTTTAGGGAGGTAGATACGAGGAAAGTTATTGTAAATAAAGTGTTTTGTCATCATTCAATGAGTGACTTCATGTCCTCTCAGAGGTTGGATGGAGATAAGGTCATTTGAAAACAATGTGAAGCACTGTCTCACGTGATCAGGTAGAAATGTGTGTCATGAACGAGTCAGCTACCACCACATGAGACATTAGCTCAGTAGCTGTAAAACAGACTGAGTTGGAGCTGTTTTTGTGTTACTGTAGGTAGCTTGGTTTTCAGGCCTAGTCCACACGTAGCCGGGTTTTTTTTAAACGAATACCCGCCCCTCCAAAAACTTGCATCCACACCACCGCGTTTTAAAAACAAACTCTGTCCACACGTACCCGGATAAATACATTGATAAGGACATGCCAGACCTGTAGGCGGCAGTACTTCCCCCGTTCTTAACCTCGTCCTTCGTCTGTGGTCTTCCGCAAGGAGCAGTAATTCCGCTTGCAAAAACAAACAAGCAAAAAGCGCTTGGACAATTGATAAAGCGAGCGCAGCTCTGAGGGCATCCATGCTGTCGGCTAGTGTAAACACAGGTCGCACACGTGATGTCAGCATTTTTTTGGCGCGGAAAGTGACGTTGCGGACCTTAAAACTCCGGTTTTGTCTGTCCACACGCAGACACCCAAAACGGAGAAAACGCAGATCTTCACTTTGGCCGGAGTTTTTAAAAATATCCGTTTTCGTGTGAAAAAACTCCGTTTTCGTGTGGATGACAGGCCAAAACGTAGAAAAATATCTACGTTTTGGCAGATCCCCGGCTACGTGTAGAGACATCTTGACTTGGTTAAAGCAATCAGAAGGACCTCCAACAAAAGAAGCATTTTTAGTGGAAGGTTGCAGACTCCTAACCAAATCCAGCAGACGAGCTCACATCACTCCGGTTTTACAGTCCCTCCACTGGCTCCCGGTAGAATATAGAATACAGTTTAAAGTTTTAGTCCTGACCTATAGAGCTCTTAACAACCAGGCTCCAAGCTACCTATCTGAGCTTTTATCCCCACACACCACCTCTCGGAACCTTAGATCCACATCTGAAAACCTCCTGGCTGTTCCTCGAACCAGACTGAAAACCAAAGGGGACAGGGCCTTTCAGACTATTGCACCCAGACTTTGGAACAGTCTACCTTCAAATCTCCGTCTCTCTAACACTGTAGAGGTCTTTAAAAATCATCTAAAAACTCACCTTTTCACCCAGGCGTTCCCTCCCTAAATGTTTCAAAAAGATGGCTTTGTTCAGGTTCACACCTTCACTTTGTTTATACTCATGATTTTATTTTCTACGTTTATCACTGCTATTGTTTTTCTGATGTTTTTATTGGTTAGAGGTATTTGCCCTGATCTTTATCATGTTGTACAGCACTTTGTGATTTATATCTGTGAAAGGCGCTATATAAATAAACTTTTACTTACTTACTTGCTCAGAAATGGTCAGGGTGCTCCTCAGACGACGATTGTCCTCTGGACATATTGAATGTGTTTTCTTTGCACAGGCGCTTTAGACAAACTATTCAGAGTTCAGGTTCTGAGTCTTTGATGTATCAAACATGTATCTGATGTCCTGTTGGCTTTGATGTGCATTCCAGCTGCAGCTGACAGGTTGAATGTTGATGGCTGCTGAGCTCATGGTCATCTGACATTAACTCAGTGAGTTCAAGCATGTCAGGGAGGCGAGGATGAATCCACGAGGAGGAATTAATCCTGCCTCTGTGGTGTGGAGATGATGAACTGTAGAGTTTTATTCATGCAGCACTTTACAACCAACCACGGGGATCAATGAAAAACCATTAACCAGCGTGGTCCTCAAGCCCCACTGCTCAGGAGAGTCAGGGGAAGGGTGGAGAACGTTGAAATCATGGGATGGTTATGTGCGTGTCTGTGAAATGTTGTGTGTACATACATGTGTGTGTCAGTAAGTAAGTGAGTCAGTGAACTTTCTCCCAGTTCAATCACAGTGTCCGTTGTGTAAGATGTAATGAGACCTCCCAGCAGTGTTGGGAAAGTTTGTTTCAAAAACGAACTAGTCCAAAGTTCAGTTCATACATTTTAAAATGAACTAGTTCATAGTTCAGTTCATACATTTTAAAACGAACTAGTTCAAAGTTCAGTTCATACATTTTAAAACGAACTAGTTCATTTCTTAGTTCGTAATTTAAAACATTTTGCACTAAGTTTACTGTTCCTAAAACGAACTAGTTCATAATTTAAAACATTTTGAACTAAGTTTACTGTTCCTAAAACGAACTAGTTCATAGTTCTTTTTTCTCCCATATATCTACACTCATCTAAAGGATTATTAGGAACACCTGTTCAACTTCTCGTGAATGCCATTATTTAATCAACCAATCACATGACAGTTGTTTTAATGCATTTAGGGGTGTGGTTCTGGTCGAGACAATCTCCTGAACTCCAAACTGAAGGTCAGAATGGGAAAGAAAGGTGATTTAAGCTATTTTGAGTGTGTCGTGGTTGTTGGTGCCAGACGGGCCGGTCTGAGTATTTCACATTCTGCTCAGTTACTGGGATTTCCACCTACAACCATTTCTAGGGTTTACAAAGAATGGTGTGAAAAGGCTAAAACATCCAGTATGCGACAGTCCTGTGGGCGAAAATGCCTTGTTGATGCTAGAGGTCAGAGGAGAATGGGCCGACTGATTCAAGCTGATAGAAGAGCAGCTTTGACTGAAATAACCACTCGTTACAACCGAGGAATGCAGCAAAGCATTTGTGAAGCCACAACACACACAACCTTGAGGCGGATGGGCTACAAGAGCAGAAGACCCCACCGGGTACCACTCACCTCCACTACAAACAGGAAAAAGAGGCTACAATTTGCACCAGCTCACCAAAATCGGACAGTTGAAGACTGGAAAAATGTTGCCTGGTCTGATGAGTCTTGATTTCTGTTGAGACATTCAAATGGTGGAGTCAGAATTTGGCGTAAACAGAATGAGAACATGGATCCATTATTCTTTCTTACCACTGTGCAGGTTGGTGGTGGTGGTGTAATGGTGTGGGGTATGTTTTCTTGGCACACTTTAGGCCTCTTAGGGCCAACTGGGCATGGTTTAAATGCCACGGGCTACCTGAGCATTGTTTCTGACCATGTCCATCCCTTCATGACCACCAAGTACCCATCCTCTGATGGCTACTTCCAGCAGGATAATGCATCGTGCCATAAAGCTTCAATCATTTCAAACTAGTTTCGATGAGTTCACTGTACTACAACGGCCCCCACAGTCACCAGATCTCAACCCGACAGAGCATCTTTGGGATGTGGTGGAACGGGAGCTTCGTGCCCTGGATGTGCATCCCACAAATCTCCATCAGCTGCAAGATGCTATCCCATCAATATGGGCCAACATTTCTAAAGAACTCTTTCAGCACCTTGTTGAATCAACGCCACGTAGAATTAAGGCAGTTCTGACGGCGAAAGTGCGTCAGACACCGTATTAGTGTGGTGGTCCTAATAATCCTTTAGGGTGAGTGTGTGTGTGTGTGTGTGTGTGTATATATATATATATATATATATATATATATATATATATATATATATATATATATATATATATATATACTGTAACTTATGAAATAATTTTCAAATAGTTGGCACCTGTTCAGTCCACACTCATACCCAGCTGCAGTTTTTACCCTACAGTATATTCTCAATGACATGACGAAAACATTATTTGAACAGTTTTTTTACGGAAAATTATTAAACAATCTTAGGAACCAGGCTGAGGTAGCAAAATAAAAATGCAAAACGATAAAAAAATGTATGATCTTTCAGTTAAGTCCCTTTTCAAATATTCTGAATGAACTTTGACTTGTTTATCTAAAGAAAATAAAAAGTTTAAGAACTTGAGTCATAAAGAGCTTGAATAAGTATAAAACAGTTTATCCGTTGTAATGGAGGATAAAGAGTTACATTTTAATTAATGACCAGAAATATTAATGATCCATATCTAGTATGGACCCCATCTCTGGACACTGGGTTTTTTAAATCAGAAGAGTGGTTCTTTTTATTACAGGGAAATTTAATACACTTTGCATGAACTGAGAGACAAGAGAAGAGAGAGAGAGACCTCAGAACATTTAAGCACAATTTATTATCTAAATGATTTTAAACAGTTTAACAGGAATAACTCTCTAGTGATGGATGCTGATGGAATGAATGTGAGGTGGAGTGTGTGTTGGTGCGATGTCAGTTCAGAACCTCCGTTCTGGAGAAGCGAGTCTGAGTGGGAGATGATGTTTTGCTCCTAACTGATCAACGTTTGAACCTTGGTCAGAAAACAACATGAGACACTATCTGTGCCATTCTATATTACCCGTCAGTGAGACCTCCGTCTTAGATCAGGCTGCCAGGTTCACGACCTTCCAATAGTACTGGAGCCAATGAAACTGCGTCGACAGCACGACAAACCAGTCTTTGGATAGTCTCCAGGTAAAAAGCGACAGGTGTTTCACAGCGTCAAAGGGACCCCCCTTTGGGTCAGCGAGTTCAGCTTTTATTCTGAAGGAAACGTTGTTTTGTTGATAACGACAGGATTTCCCAGCTTGGCAGTTCTCAGCTTAAAAGTAAAAAGTACAGATGGCCGGTCCGTACTCCACTTAGCAATGATGAACTTCAGGGGATCTTGAGAGCTGGCTGAATACTGAACTCAAAATGGTGTTCTGTTTATTAATCTTGATGTTTAAGATTCTGGACGAATCACAGCTGACAGATTAAATAAACACCACAGAGACTGCCACGCTTCAGAGTGAAGGTTCTGATTGGATTTGCGACCGGAATGTGTCATGATTATTTATCTTGTGCATCAGGTGACTAGTGGCTACAATACGTCATTTCCTTATTAAACATTAATCATAACATTGTGATTTCACAGATCGATCACATGGTTATTATTGACTAACAGTTGTTTTGATTAGCTTTATTAAAATAGAGTTCTTTGATTAATTTAAAGAAAAGAGTTCATTCTTCGTTCTTCTGTCGTCACTGCTGGAATGTAAACGTTAGAAGTGAATGCATGACCTTGAGGCTGTTTCATGCACACTGACACTGTGTCAAACAGAACAGCTGTTAGAGGGGAGAAATGGTTCCTTCATCACGTTACACCGTTGGAATTTTCCTCCATGCTTCACGATTTGATGACGTATGAGTGGTGCGACTCCATGACTTCTGTCCTGCACACAGCATAGACATAGAAGAGTAGACGCCGCATCAACCGCTACTGTCTATGTTTGGCCGCATTTGCGGGTTTTACCTTTTATAAACTATGGTTAACAGAATGTTTTAGCTAGGCCTTTGCTCCGGAAAAACTCCGTGGAGATCTGGAGCTATAACGGCGAAAGAACTCGTTCATAAACCCGTTCACGCATGCCAGGAAGAACGCACTCACTTTTACGTTCGTCAGGCAAAATACTAACAAGTTCAGGTCACGTTCACGAAAAAAACTAACAAATTCACAAACAATCGTTCAATGAACGCATTCGGGCACAACATTGCCTCCCAGGGAGCTTCACAGTCCTATGTGAGGAACCAGAAGGGGATGGGCAGAGCATCCATCATTCAGGACAGTTTTGAAATCTTCAACCTTCAAGGCCAACATGGGGGAGCCAGATTCAGATAATAGCAATTTCTTTTTGTTCCAACTTGAGCTTGTTTTCTCTGCCTTGTGTCCTTCCGCGGTCTCAAGGCAACTCCAAACAGCCGAATTAGGAGTTCAGTTTCCACTAAGCCGAGCTAAGAACCTCTCCACGCTGTTTTCTATTCCGCAGATAAGTTCTGAAACCGCAGCCAGTTTGTTGATCATCCAGCTTACAATTTAGTTCATGTAACACATGTGTTGGTGTGTTAATAGCACGATACATCAATTCGTTAAGGCCGGACAGCTTACCAGTTGCTTCTGACAGCTTCTTATTTTTCCAGGAACACACCAGCTCCAGACAGCAGAAACCCGGTAATCATGAATCCAGTTATATAAATATCTTCTACATCCTCCATGGAGAGCAGAAACAGACACACAGTCTTTCACTTGCCATAGGAATCTATCATGTAACCAGCCAGGTGCATTCGATCAGAGCAGGAGGGCAATCCCTTTGCCGTTCTTAATGTCGGGAAAATTTGATCACTTGCGTTCAGAGACTAGCTTACCAGATCCATGATTAAAGAAAAATCCAGAGGAAAATTCAGAGAGGCCCTTCAGATGGACTGACAGGACAGAAAGCAGCAGACAAGACAAGGTTAGGAAGAGGGAAAGAAAAGACATCCATTCTCCCCATGAGCAGGAAGGAAACAGCACAAGTTGAATAGTGCTGGAGAGAGGTCCATGGTGCATGGTGGAACAGTTGGTTGCACCATTGCCTCACAGCAAGAAGCTGCAGGTTCAAATCCCAGCTGTGGCCTTTGGCATGTTCACCTTGTATATTCATGGGTTTGCTCTGATTTAATCCCACAAACTAAAAACATACACGTCAGCCTTCTTGGCCATTCTAAATAGTCCCTAGGCACTTCACATGCACGTGGTGGTGGAGCTGAGGACTACTGGATTCTGGACCAAGAAACCCCTGTTAGATTTAGACCACCTTTAATACACACGTACTGTTCAAGCTCAGGTGATGATTATTCTCATACAGTTTTAGGTTTTATAATGGAAACTATTTTTTTTAAGTACAAAGGTTTTAGTCTATTTGATTATTGTGACTAGTAATTTTTGTATCGGGCTCTGTCTTAACAGATCCAACCCTACGAGAAGATCAAGGCCAAGGGACTCCCAAACAACATCACTGAGACACTCAACAAGTTGGTAGTGGTCAAGCTGAATGGAGGTCTGGGAACCAGTATGGGCTGTAAGGGCCCCAAAAGTCTGATCAGTGTCCGCAACGAGAACACCTTCCTGGATTTGACCGTGCAGCAAATAGAGGTAGAAACACTTTAAAATCAGCAACAAGGTCCGACTTGAGTGGTGGATCATGTTTTCTCCTTGTGTGTGTGTGTGTGTGTGTGTGTGTGTGTGTGTGTGTGTGTGTGTGTGTGTGTGTGTGTGTGTGTGTGTGTGTGTGTGTGTGTGTGTGTGTGTGTGTGTGTGTGTGTGTGTGTATTCAGCATCTGAACAAAACATATAACGCTGATGTGCCGCTAGTCCTCATGAACTCCTTCAACACCGACGAAGACACAAAGAAGATCCTGCAGAAGTACTCACACCACCGTGTGAAGATCCACACCTTCAACCAGAGCAGGTGCTACACACACACACACACACACACACACACACACACACACACACACACACACACACACACACACACATGACACACACGCATTTATATGCTTGTGTGGACCCTCCATTGACTTCCATTGATTTTTGTGACCCCACTACGCCTAATCCTAACCCTAATCATAACCAATGTGGTTCTATTCCTAATCCTAATCTAAACCAAATGTTAGTTCACACCACACCTCTAAAACCATGTTTAAGGATATTCTGTCATTGTGTGGACCAGCCAAATGTCACCACAGTGTGGAAATGTCCACACAGTACAAGTGTGACGTTTTGTAAGTGGTTACTTTTATAGTTTATAAAAATCTATTTATCGCTATATTTCTACTACTAATGATGATGCAGGACAAATGATTATAAATAATGATTCAAGGTGATATCAGCTGAGACAATGAATAAACTCTGATGAAACATGAGCTTTGTTGACAAAGAAAGGTGTGATGTCTGGGTTTATAAAACAAATCTGTTATCAAATTAATAATAAGTTATTAAAAAAAACTAACAAAAACAAGTTCAGTTATCAAATTTATAATAAATCATCCAATGACAGGTGAGAGACTATGACACCCTTGTGATAGGAGTTCTCGGTAGGTCCAGATGGCCTTAATTTGTCTCGAACCGATTCACAGGAGGAATTGGACTTCTGTGGAATTCAAAGGTCGTAGTTCCACTTTGAATCTGCACGGCTGGCCAATGAGATACTATCCGGGTGACTGCTGGCGGTCAGATAAAGTTTTGTATGTGATAAAGTTTTGCAGGTTTGCAAGTAATGGTTGTTTGATCTTGGAAAAGGATGGTTCTTATGCCGCTAAAATTATTCCACTGAAAGATTTGGATTGATCCCCCAAAGGGTGGTAATTTAGCATAAACTGGAGCTTTGGCAGAACTGTATTTTAGAGGAAACGACTGATCTTTTTTAAGATCTGTTGTTTATAAATTTTGGACAAATCAGAAGCCAGAAAGTGTATTATTCTTATCTCTTTAATGTGTGAGGTAAATATGTTAAACATTAATTAGTTAATATACCAATATTAGTATTTGAATTAACTGATAAATGTAGGCTCATTTGGTGTATTTAAGATCTGAAATAAGACATTTATTTTGATTCATTCATTAGTGTAAAGCAGTCGAGACATAATTAAATCCCTTCAGATAAAGCATTCATTGTAGATAATATATAGATACTATAGTAATGTGTAGTATAGCACAGTATAGTATAGAATCATATAGTATAGTAATGTATATAATCGGATAATATATTTATGTATAGCACAGTACAGTACTGTACAGTATAGTATATTATAGTATAATTTGTATACCACAGTAATGTGTAGTAAAGTATAAATTTAGGAAAGCACAGTATAGTTTAGTATAGTATAGAATTGTTTAGTATAGTAATGTGTAGTATAGAATTGTATAGTATCGTATAGTACAGTATAGTATAGAATCGTATAGTATAGAAATGTATAGTATAAATCGTATACCATAGTAATGTATAGTATAGCACAGTATAGTTTAGTATAGTATAGAATTGCATAGTGTAGTAATGTATAGTATAGAGTAGAATCTTATACTATATTATTGTATAGTATAGCACAGTATATAGTAAAGTATAGTATAGTATAAAATCGTATAATGTAGGAATGTATAGTAAAGTAATGTATAGTATAGTATAGTATAGTATAGTACAGTACAGTATAGTATAGAATCATATAGTATAGAAATGTATAGTATAGTATAAATCGTATACTATAGTAATGTATAGTATAGCACCGGAGTTTTGTATAGTATAGAATTGCATAGTGTTGTCATGTATAGTATAGAACAGAATCGTATACTATATTAATGTATAGTATAGCACAGTATAGTATAGTATAGAATCATATAGTATAGTACAGTATAGTATAGTGTAGTATAGTTTAGTATAGTATAGTACAGTACAGTATAGTATCGTATAGTATAGTACTGTATAGCATTGTATAGTATAGAAATGCATAGTATAGTATAAATCGTATACTATAGTAATGCATAGTATAGCACAGTATAGTTTAGTATAGTATAGAATTGCATAGTAATGTATAGTATAGTTAAGAATTGTGTTTTACATCAATGTATAGTATAGCACTCCACCAGATTCTGTTGCTTTTATCATTGTAGAGTTATCTGCATATTGAAATCACCTCTGTTGCTATTCAGTGGAGATTCCGAAAAAAGACCAATCAGATTAACCTATGAAGCTTATGTCATATATATAAATATCCCGGATACTTATATATCGATCTAAGTTCATACATCAACCTGTTTGATCGAATTTTAATCCCAACATTAATGTTTAATTTAGATAATTAAATTTAATAGCAAAAGTTGATTAGAATCAGAAGCTAGGATCTTTGCTTCAAATAACCAGAAATATTATACCTTTTCTGTGTTTCGTTTCAATAATGAGGCAAGTTTACAAATGAAGAGATTTATTACTAACAATTTTAAACTTAAAGATTTGAAACGACAATGATCAAATGACAATTCAAGGATGGAAATTTTAATGACAATTGTTAACAGCTTTTATATTAAACTTGTTTTAAAAGCAAACCTGTGGCTGAATGGAAGCTAAATGAAAAATACGAGTTTGGATGCGTGAATGAGGTTACTAGAAGGTTTCTTTCACAGAGAGTTGGAAGCGTTCTGGATGAAATTATGTTTGCGGCTAACTGAGTTATTTAGAGAGAAAACAGCATCAAACGCATTGTCGTGTGCTACCTCACCCAAACAGGACCCTCTTGTGGATCCGGAGATCAGGAGGATGTGTTCATCCAAGATGACACTCAGTCGGGTAGGGGAGACGCAAGTGTCCGATCGTCTGGTCCAGAGTTGTCCTGGGTACGCGGTTGTCAAGCGTTTGGCAGATGGACGTTCTCGTCTTAACTTCAGAAATCAATGACTCTGGGTAGAGTCTTCGTTAGCTGGTTACAGTTCGTTTATTCTTTAGCTATTCTGGTCGGCGTGACTAGAACAGCAGGTGGAGGTTTAAGAGACGTCCGTTCCCCTTTCCTCCGTGGTGTTGGTTCAAGAACTAATGAGGGTTAGTTTTATCAAGCTCCAGGACACTCCCACTCTCTCCGGAAGAAAGCTTTGGTCATGCGTCAAAACATGTGTTACAGTTATGTTCATCTGAACTCTGTGTTAGCTGGATAAGGTGAACTTGACCTTCTGATATGCTGAACACATCTTTTACTGTCATTATAATCATTATTATAATTATTATTATAGCCAAAGCATAAATTAATTTCATGTAATTAATGTACCTTTATACTAAACCAAGTGATCATTTATGAGATTGTGTTAAACAGCAATAAAATCAATGAGTTTTATTAATTATTATCTAATTATTATCATCGTGACTTGAAGTGTCCTTCTCCTGGGATGGAACAGCAGCGATAGGTGATAGGATCTTGAGCAGACATCGTGGCTCCTTGGGTTAATCTGTGGATTTAAAAGTACTGTTTGACCCAGCTGGACCCAGCTGGGTAAATGTGACCTTTGCCACAAATTAGAGAACCTTCATCACGTTACATCTTAATGCTGCTGTTAGCAGATCGACCTGGAGTTGGTGGACATCTTTTCTGCTTCATCCTCACCTCTAAAAAAGTCTGTTTCAGCTTCCTTTCTAAAGGAAATGTGATTTATTTCCCATCAGGTACCCAAGGATCAACAAGGAGTCGCTGCTGCCCATCGCCACCAACATGGGGATGACTGGTGAGAATGCCGAGGCCTGGTACCCACCAGGTCATGGAGATATCTACGCCAGCTTCCACAACTCTGGACTGCTGGACAATCTCCTTGCTGAGGGACGAGAATACATGTTTGTGTCCAACATTGACAACCTGGGAGCCACCGTGGACCTCTTCATCCTCCACCACCTGATATGCCAGCCGGCCGACAAACGCTGTGAGTTCATCATGGAGGTCACAGACAAGACCAGGGCAGATGTGAAGGTGAGCATGGTGGGAGGAGCTTCTGAAGTTTTGCTGGGCTGTTCTCATCATTGTCTTTTTCTTCTCTGCAGGGTGGTACTCTGATCCAGTACGAGGACCATCTGAGGCTGCTGGAGATCGCTCAGGTTCCGAAGGCTCACGTGGACGAGTTCAAGTCCGTCACCAAGTTCAAGATCTTCAACACCAACAACCTGTGGATTTCTCTGTCTGCAATCAAGAGGCTGCAGGAGAGGAACAGCATGGACCTGGAGATCATCGTCAACCCAAAGGTTTTAATTTAACATCAGGATTGGTTTTAAGGCTGGTGTCTCACAGGGGGCTGCGCAGTGGTGCAGTGGTTAGAGCTGTTGCCTTGTAGCAAGAAGGTCCTGGGTTCGATTCCTGGCCTGGGATCTTTCTGCATGGAGTTAGCATGTTCTCCCTGTGCATGCGTGGGTTCTCTCCGGGTACTCCAGCTTCCTCCCACCGTCCAAAAACATGACTGTTAGGTTGATTGGTCTGTCCAAATTGTCCTTAGGTGTAAGTGTGTGTGTGCATGATTGTCCTGTGTGTCTCTGTGTTGCCCTGCGATGGACTGGCTCTCTGTCCAGGGTGTACCCCGCCTGATTGCCCGTTGACCGCTGGAGATAGGCACCAACCCCCCCCCCCGACCCTACGTGGACAAAGCAGGTTCCGAAAATGGATGGATGGATGTCTCACAGGCTCTAACTGCTGCTGGCTCAGCTGGAGCCAGAAATTCCACGATTCGTTTTCAGTTTGGATCCGACGTGTAGCGATTGGTCTGAACTGCAACTAAACTGCAATGTTTGTGCAAATTTCCAAGGTAATCGTCATAGTTTGTTTACATTTTTCCTTATTTATTTGCACCCATCCAGACGTTCCAGATATCTGCAGCTACTGCCGATGTTTAGGTTCCTACATCAGGAGCAAGATCCTGCGGCGCACACAAGGAAACGAAGAACCTCTTTATGATACTGGGAAATCTTTATCACTTATGTGCTTCATATTTGTCCCCACCAGTCACAGCCCAGCGAGACGCTGGCTTAGAGACTTCTGACTGAATCCAGTCTCGACAGGTTGTCCAGTAATCGGAAGGTTGCAGGTTCAATCCCGGCTTCGGACAGAGAATTCTGTTGTGTCCTTGGGCAAGACACTTAACCCACCCTGCCTGCTGGTGGTGGTCGGAGGGACCGGTGGCGCCTGTCAGTGCGCCCCAGGGCAGCTGTGGCTAAAATGTAGCTCATCACCATCAGTGTGTGTGAATGGGTGAATGATACACAGTAGTGTAAAGCGCTTTGGAGTCCTCTGACTCTGAAAGGCGCTCTACAAGTGCGGGTCATCTTAGATAATACATTTAATACAGAGTTCTAGTATTTCTAGAAGGAAGTCTGTTTTACTAACGTGTTTCAGATGTTTTGGTCAAATCTGTAGTCCAAAGGAATTCGAATCAACGCAACTGGACTTCTCCTCTGAGGAGTTTTGTCAATTCTGACTGGAATATGGGAGTCAAGCTTATAAGCTGTACTCATGGACGTAATTTTCACTTTAGAAGTGGGGGACACACGGGGGGGGGGGGGGGGGGGGGGGGTCTTTACAGTATGTTCTAATGGGAAACAGGCTTTAACACAAACGGGGGTTTTCTACTTGGTCCTAGAGCTCAACCAGTGTCAATTTAATATAGCGCAATATTGTTTTTGGATGGTAAAAAGTGCAGGGGTCAAAACTTGACTTTGGAAAAAGTGGGGGGGACATGCCCCCCCCCCCAACAAATGACGCCCATGGCTGTACTTGTCTATAGTTGCTTAACAAGCTGAAGCTTCTTGTGAATGCCAGTCCTCCTCTTGTGTGGGGAGGGCTGTTTTGATGGGGTGCAGGAGGGTGTGACCTGTTCAGAGCTGCCTTATAGGTGCTGGAAGGGCGAACCCTGAGGCCGCCTCCTCTGTTTAATGTCGCTGTTTCCTGTTTGTCATCGATAGCTGCCCTTACTCCCCCCACAAGCCATCTATCCTCTCTGTCCAGAATGTGAACATTGCCTTCTTCAAAAGTGTGTCCCTTGTCCTTTAGATTCCCATGACCTGGATGACCGAGATCCTTCACCAGATCAGTCAGAATCTACCAGATTTTATATCATACTGTCTGAACTTTGACTTCTCTGACCCCTTGGTAGACCCTGGACGGCGGTCTGAATGTCATTCAGTTGGAGACGGCGGTGGGTGCTGCCATCAAGAGCTTCAATAACGCCATGGGGGTGAATGTGCCCCGCAGCCGCTTCCTGCCGGTGAAGACGTCGTCTGACCTGCTGCTGGTCATGTCCAACCTGTACAGCCTGGACGCTGGCTCGCTCACGATGAGCAAAAAGAGGGAGTTCCTCACGACGCCGCACGTTAAACTGGGCAGCTCCTTCACCAAGGTCAGTGAGCACAGGATGGTGATGGGTGGATGACAGAAGGTCGATGATTATGATGGATGGATGATGTTGGATGGTTCAGTGACAGCTGAGAGGTTCTGTTTTGTTGCCTGCAGGTTCAGGACTTTCTGACCCGGTTTGAAAACATCCCAGACATGCTGGAGCTGGACCACCTCACCGTGTCCGGAGACGTTACCTTTGGAAAGAACGTCTCTCTGAAGGTGAAGCGGCCTGGTTTTGATGAGTTACCTAGTTAGGTTTACTTCACAGATGGAACAAGAAAACCGTTGTCAACACTCATCTTTACACTTGTTTCCACTCCCACCAGGGAACTGTGATCATCATCGCCAATCACGGCGACAGGATCGATATTCCAGCTGGAGCGATGCTGGAGAACAAGATCGTCTCAGGAAACCTGAGGATCCTGGATCACTGAAGCCTTCTGGAGGAGAAACGCACATGAAGCAATCTACGCGAACACAATGCATCATGGGTCTGCTGAGCTCCTGTGGGCTTTGAAAAAACCTGAACTATAAAATAAAAAAAGCATTTTCTTTAGAGAACTCATGGTCATGTCCTCCATTCACCACAAGGGGGAGTATTTGTAACTCATTTAAATAAGCAGCAAGTTGCTCTTTCATCCCACTTTATTCTCAGCAGCGTTACAGTGGTCAGCATCTTTTATAATCTCGTTTACACTGCTGGATTCGCGCACGCACACACACACACACACAGTGACATGGTAGGCACACTGCTGGAGAGCTCAGATGTGTGACAGCAGATCAAAAGGAGGCACTTCTGCAGCGGACTGGTTTCTGCAGGGTACTGAGCCTCCAGATCCAGACCCACAACACCAGTTACCGAGCTCTGTATCCTGTTGAAGTTTGACGTGGCAGAAGAGACGACCACAGCAAAGAGGAATCCGGTGACTTTAGGAGTTAAGAGCCCTGCTGCGCCGACACAAAATACCCAGAAATAAACTAAACAGCGTTTCATTGATCAGAATTCAGGAAAAAAAGGCGATTTGAGCGGGAAATATGATTTAGGACGTGTCTCTGCCCTTTGCCAAACAAGCCTAATGAATAGTTTTAGGGTCCTCCGGTGAAATCTGCAAACCAAAGCAGTCTGTTCCCACTTAGCTGTTTGTTGTAATGCTACGAAGCCAACACAAGGGAATTATGGGATGCGTGGACTTGATGCCTTTTGTGCTATGGGGTTCTGTAGGAGCTGTTCGTGTTCTGCTTTGTAAATGTCAGAGAAAAGTAGTGAACAGCTGTTCTCACGTCCCGCGATCATCGACATCTGTTTAAAACATGAATAAACAAAGTGAACCCGTCTGTCAGGGAGGATCGGTCAGATGGCAGGAGTCCCAGAGCAGAAAGGCTTTTACTTTGGTAACAACAGGATGTAGCTGAGGTTTCAGATGGTTCACAGGATAGAAGTTTTAGGAGTTCCTTCAACAAACCCAGTCCATGGTCAGAACCTGCAGGAGGAAACGCCCCCTACAGCTCACAAATAAATTACCCTAAATATCATCATCATCATCATCATCACCTGCTTCCATCATCAGTCTCCGGTCATTTATTAGTCCTCTATCAAACAGCACGCAGTGAGCTGGCGCAGCAGCAGGTCTAACGAGGCTCTCCGATGTTTCTTCATGAGGTCAAACGTTTTCAGGTCCAACTTCCTGCTGCTGCTCCTCTTCTTCAGGTTTATGTTTTTGGTCCCTACGAGCCTCCTCCACCCACTGAGGCAGCTGCTGTCCACCAAAGCCGTGCCCCGCCTCGGGCGTCTTCATGAGTTGGTTCGAGATGTCCAGACTTCCATCACCTCTTCTGCTCCCAGATCTCAGCCATGTTCAGGTCGAGCCTCTCCAGGCTCTTCAGAGCCTGGATGTTCTCCGTGTAGAAGGCTACGTCCGCCACCACCAGCCTGCAAACACGTAGTCTCTTTAAAGCACGCTCAAACTTCACCTCTGCGTTTGCTGCACATGTAACTGATGCTACACGATTAAAACCTCCACCGCTTACATTTAAATATTCAGCCAGAAACCACTGAGGGCAAGGTTATTAAACTCGCTACATAGCGAGTCATGAGGCCTGTAACCATGACATCACAGGAAGTACAGAAACTGTAAGTCTGTTCTTTACCCGTGTTGTGGTCCTCCATCATTGACTACCCCGAGTCGAGCCAGCTGCCTCTTCAGGTGAGTTTTAAAGCTGGCGTTGATCCTCAAAAACAGCATCTGTGCAGACAAGCACATCCACAAACATCCAGTCGCTGATGCACTTCAGAGCAAAGTTTATAACAAAGTAACTCATGTTGCTGAGCTAGAGAAGCAGTGGGATGTTGTTTCCATGGTGCCCGGAGGTCTGAGATTCACCTGTGTCTGTTCTTCAGGTAGAAGCTCAAAGATGGCTTCGTGCATCTTTGCCATTTGTTTACAAATGTTCCTGAAGCAGGCTGATGGCATCGGCGCCTTCACTTCATACTGGAGCAAAAACACAAACATGAGAAACGAGAACCAGATCAGACCCTGACCCTGGTACAGGATAAACACGACGCAGAACACACCATCAACGGGCTGTGCTGAGTGGAAAACAGACACATACAAAGAGCTTTGCTGTTGTTTTTGCTGATAAGCTGTTTGGATAAGTGTCTAATAGAGCTGTACACATGTGTAGTCCAGTGGATAGAACCAAATCCAACTCACCCCGTCGAGCTTACTCTTATTCTCATCATTATTATTATTGTCATTATTATCATTCTCATCATTATTATTATTGTCATTATCATCATTCTCATCATTATTATTATTATTATCATTCTCATCATCATTATTATTGTCATTATTATTATTATTATCATCATCATTATTATTATCGTCATTATTATCATTCTCATCATTATTATTAATGTCATTATTATCATTCTCATCATTATTATTACTGTCATCATTATTATTATTATCATTCTCATCATTATTATTATCGTCATTATTATCATTCTCATCATTATTATTATCATCATTATTATCATCATCATCATTATTATTATCGTCATTATTATCATTCTCATCATTATTATTATTGTCATTATTATCATTCTCATCATTATTATTATCATCATCATCATTATTATTATCATAATTATCATTATCATCATCATTATCATCATCATCATTATTATTATCGTCATTATTACTGTTGTCATTATTATTATTATTATCATCATCATCATTATTATTATCATAATTATCATTATCATCATCATTATCATCATCATCATTATTATTATCGTCATTATTACTGTTGTCATTATTATTATTATTATCATCATCATCATTATTATTATCATCATTATAATTATCAACGTCATTATTATTATTAATATTATTATTGTCATTCTCATCATTATTATCATCATCATCATTATTATTATCATCATCATCATTATTACTATTATCATCATTATTATCATTATCAACGTCATTATTATTATTATTAATATTATTATTGTCATTCTCATCATTATCATCATCATCATCATTATTATCATCATCATCATCATTATTACTATTATCATCATTATTATCATTATCAACATCATTATTATTATTAATATTATTATTGTCATTCTCATCATTATCATCATCATCATCATTATTATCATCATCATCATCATCATTATTATCGTCATTATTATTATTATCATCATCATCATCATTATTATCATTATCAACGTCATTATTATTATTATTATCATTATAATGATTATTATTATTATCATTATAATGATTATTATTGTCATTATTATTGTTATTATCATTAATATTGTCACTATTATTAATCATTATTATTATTATCATCATTAATATTATTATTATTATATTATTATTATTATTATCATTAATATTGTTATTATTATTATTGCCTACTGACAGCCATCACCCATACTACGTTGTTGTCTCTACTGTCCTCAGGGAGGCGCTATGGAGCCTTGAATTGTCCCACCTCTAGGATGAGTCCACCACCCACACAGACTCTCAGAACTTTGTGCAACATTAATCTAAAATTACTAAGTGTAATATCATATTTGAATACTGAATATTTATTCTATTGTACCCTACAAGGTAGTTTTCATTTTCATGTTTCTGTTTATTTTAGGACTTCTCGTGTGTTGCTCATGTTCTAATGAAAACCTGACTCCACCCAGAGACGAGTAAAAACATGAAGCTGGATGTTCCCCTTGTGTAGCCAACACCAAACGCACCTTTGACAGAACCTTCTCAAACACACTGTCCATGATGGCCACCAGCTTAGCAGAGATCTCTGCTATGTGATCGTTGTAGTCCTGAAAAACAACCATCATCAGCTGACGACGTTCCTTCATGACTACATGTGAGCAACAAGTGTTACCTTGGTGATGTGGTCGAAGTGCCTGAGAACGCTGAACTGTTTGGGCTGCAGTTTGGTCTCAAAATGAGCTCTGATGATGGGAATGTAGTGAACTACCAGCTGGAGACACCGGGACGCTAAAGCTGCAGGAACAAACGTGACTGGGTCATTGGACTGGTAGGCTGTGTGTGTGTGTGTGTGTGTATAGATACATTTTGAAGCATGTGTGGTTAACCGTTAAGGTCATAATCAGTTGCACCAGCGCTGCCGGGTTAGTTGCTGTTCACGTCCTTCAACTGTGCGAAGTTTCATCGAGTCAGGTCAAGAACGGACACTTCCCTCTCACTCACGGTCCAGCCAGACCACACCTACATGCCCCTAAGCACACTGGGAAGCGGGAAGTAAAGTCCCCCCAGCAACAATATTTTCTGTGCCACTAGAGGGCACAAGAGAGCTGCCGACTCAAAAACCACGGATAAAGAGTTGCGCTAGTCACTCACACGAATCAAATACATGTACTCGAAGATGAAGCTGCCAAGAAAAAGCATTTTATTCTTGGTAGTGAACAGAATGAGCCCAACGTTGCAGCGCGTAGCCTAGCAGACCATGGGAACCACGTTCCACCGCCTCCCTCAGGGTGCCCTTTGGTACTAACCCCGTATGACAGGGGCAGCAGTAGCTCAGGTGGTAGAGCGGGTAGCCTCATGATCGGAGGGTCATAGATTCAATTCCAGCTCCCGCCAGGGGTATCCTGCTGTTGTGTCCTTGGGCAAGACACTTCACCCAACTTGCCTTTGTTAGTGGTGGTCAGAGGGGCCGACGGCACCAAATGGCAGCCTCGCCTCTGTCAGACCTCCCCAGGGCGGCTGTGGCTACAAGTAGCTTACCATCACTAGCAGTGTGTGAATGTGAGAGTGTGTGAAAGCGTCTTTGGGTGTCTAGAAAAGTGCTATATAAGTTCAATGCATTATTATTATTATTATTATGACCGGTGTCAGAGCTTGGTCCGCATTGCCGGCAGTAAGTCAGGCTCATTCCCAGTGAGAGTTGGACTCCGCCAAGGCTGCCCTTTATCACAGATTCTGTTCATAACCTTTACAGACCGGATTTCTGGGCACAGCCAAGTTGTTGAGGGCATACGTTTTGGTGGCCTGAGGATCAGGTCCTGTTGGCTTCATCAAAAAGTGATCTCCGGCTTTTGCTGGAGAAGTTCGCAGCCGAGTGTGAAGCAGCTGAGATGAGAATCAGCTCCTCTAAATCTGAGACCATGGTCTTGAGTCGGAAAAGGGTGGAATGCCTTCTCCGGGTCAGGGATGAGGTCCTGCCCCAAGTGGAGGAGTTTAAGTACCTCGGGGTCTTGTTCACGAGTGAGGGAAAACTGGAGTGTGAGATCGATAGGCGTATTGGTGCTGCATCTGCAGTGATGTGGGCGTTGTACCGGTCTGTCGTGGTGAAGAGAGAGCTGAGTCAGAAGGTGAAGCTCTCGATTTACCGGTCAATCTACGTTCCTACCCTCACCTATGGTCATAAGCTTTGGGTAGTGACGAGATCGCGGATACAAGCGGCCGAAATGACTTTTCTCCGCAGGGTGTCTGGGCTCTCTCTTAGAGATAGGGTGAGAAGCTCGGTCATCCGGGAGGGGCTCGGAGTAGACCCGCTGCTCCTTCACATCGAGAGGAGCCAGTTGAGGTGGCTCGGACATCGGATTAGGATGCCTCCCTGGGGAGGTCATCAGGGCACGTCCAACTGGGAGGAGACATGTCCACCCAGGACACGATGGAGAGACTATGTCTCTTGCCCGACTTGGGCCAGCTCTTGCAGGGAGGAGCTGGCCCAAGAATCTGGGGAGTGGAAGTCTGGGCCTCTCTGCTTAGGCTGCTGCCCTCAAGACCCGACTCCGGATACGCTGAAGAGAACGGATGGTTGGATGTATAAACATATATAGTGTGGACACATTGTGGGGACATTTTGCTGGTTGATAATGGCTAAGCACCCTAAAACTTGGCTTTAGAGGTATGATGTGAATTAACTTTTAGTTTAGATTAGTTTAGGTTAGGAACAGAACCACGTTAAGAAGCCTAAGTCGCGCCCATCTATTTCCGGACCACGGGTCCCTAGAAGAACAAAAACATTAACACAAGCCAACGCTGGTTATGTTCCATGGATTTCACATGTGATGTCCGTGAATTTTAAAGACGCATTTTGATACCAAGAAAGAGCTTATTTTCAAATGGAGGAAACGTTATTTTAGGATTTGTGTGAAAATAAGTCCAGGACTACGAATGCGTCATCGAACCAGACACGGAGAAAAACAGAGGGAAAAGGGCTGTAAGTTCAGCAAACTTCAAACCCTTCCTTCAGGAGGAAAGAACCACCATAAAGCTGGCCATGTGGTAAGTAGCAGCTATGCTAGGGGAGAGGAGATTATGTCATCTATGTGACGTTCCGATGTCTGATTTGTAGTCATGCTAGGAATTACAAACGTTTACAAGCTGATAAATCTCGAAGTACGTGAGTGGCGTGGTCGAAACGCACATTTTAGTTTTCATTTAAACTGAAGTACAACATACGTGTCACCCAGGGTCTAGGGCACAACGAATTAGAAAACAGCTTTTAGCTACGTTGACTTGCATTCATTTTTTTCATTCTTCCGGGGACCCACGAGCCAACCGGAGGGGGAGGAGACTTAAGCTTGGTTTATGCTTGACGCATTCACTTTCCGCGCGGTGATGCGGCTCGCGGATGGAACGCGCCTCACAACTCGCAGCGTTTATGGTTCGTGCGGCTCGTCTCTGCGGCGAGCCTATATTCTCCCAAACTGCAGGGGGCAGCATGGAGCTCTACGGCACGCATCCAACACTACACCATAGTAGAAGTAGAAATTACTGTTTACAACACGGCATTTCAGCATTTTTAACAGCGTCCTCGTCTTTTCCGACAGTGCGAGCTATTTCTCTCCAAGAATTATTAACAACGTGTTGATCACGGTGATCTCTGAGAGCTGAATCATACAAATGTCTGTATTTACGAACCTCTGCCATACTAGTTCTTGCCGGTCCGCCATGTTTTTCCGCGTCCGACCGTCCGCGTGGTTAGAAAATTTCCTAGGTGCGCGTTGCGGAAAGTTTGGGCCGTGCGGAGACGCGTGGTTGTTTAAATGACGCTACTTTTACCCGCGGAGCCGTGCGGACCTCGCGGACGCGTTAAGCATAAACCAACCTTTAGGCTCCCTATTGCCAAGGGTAGGGTTAGGCATAGAGGAGTTACTAAAATGAAAGGAAGTCACTGGAGGTCCATGCAAACATAAATACAAGTGTGTGTGTGTGTACCCAGGTTTTTTGTAGTGATGGTCTTGAGGCCGACCACCTGCAGAGCTCCGGCTCCCAGAACCAGCTGACAGCTGCGAGAGTTGAAGTGCTGCAGGAACAACAATAATTTAATGACCTGCTGGAGTCAAAGAAACTCCGTGTTTACAAATTCAAACAGAACAAATCTATAAAAAAATAAAACAACAACAGGAGAACGAGGCGTTAACAACAGAAGGTCACGTTTAGAGTGTCTACATGCTAAACAGCTGCTGCAGCTCTCGAGCAGACTCGGATCAGTCAGAACCGCCTCAACTCGGCTTCACACACTCTGGGCTCTGGTGGGGTGGGTGTCTTACCTTTAGGAGGTCGGACAAGCGCGTTAACATGTCCGTAGCGATGGACGGGATGTCATTCACACAGTGACAGTATTCCAGAAAGATCCGGATCAGCAGCAGAACCGTCCTGAAGAAACCAAGGACACTCGTGTGTAACAGCTAACTGTAGCCAATGTTGGTTTCATTATGAAACTAGTTTCCCTGTGATGGTTTCTTTCTTTAGAAGCACATGCACATAGGAGAGAGGGGGAGCGCCTACCCAACAACAGCATACTTCTGCCCACTGACCAGCAGAAACTCTGCAGGTTTTCTGTCATCCGGACCTGCAGGAGGAAACACTGCGTTAGAATCAGAATCAGCTTTAGTGTCAAGTAGGTGAGTGAGACTCATGTGAGCAGTGTGTGTGTGTGTGTGTGTGTGTGTTTATGTGTGTGTGCATTAGGGCTGTCGCGGTAACCGCAAAAATGAAATATCGCAATATGAAGAAGCCCACCGCGCTGCATCATGGCCACCGCGATTACTGAACTTGGTTCAACTCAATGATGCATGTTGAGAAGGATGGCTGCACTGGTATCAAAACGAAACGTTACTTCGCTCCTGTGGGAGCACTTTGGCTTTCAGTACGTCAGCTGCTGCGCAGCCAGAGTCCTTGGCCGAGACAGAGCTGCCTCCAGCGGCAAAAAATAAATAAATAAACGCTCGGAGACCTCCTGAAGTCCCGGAAGCACTGCTTCTGCAACCGTCCCGAAGAGAGTTTGAGCCGAGCTGGAGCTCACTCGCTACCTGCAGGAGGAATGCATCTACCCTAAAGAACCCCCCTGACATGGTGGAGCAACAACCGGGAGAGATTCCCTTTGCTCGCCAGAGTCGCACGCAAGTACGTGTGCGTTAGTGCAACGAGCGCACCATCCGAGAGGGTTTTCAGTGTTGCTGGAAATGTTGCCCCCCCTCTCAGATCCTCTCTCAAACCGTATATGGTTAACATGCTGGTTTTCCTTGTGGGTAACAAGGACGTGACCGAGCTATAAATCACCGTCATTCGTGTGTGTGAAAGTGAAATGATAGTGCCCCGCGCCCGGTACATGTAATTTTTTATGCTTGATTTTAAACAACTAAACAAAATGGGGACTTGTTTCTTATTTGTTAGATGCTGCAGCCAAATTTGCATTTAAAAGTTTAACCTTCTCCTGAATTTTGTTGTTTTTAAGTTCAGTCGGACTCCGACTGTCAGAGAAACAAACGTTACTGCGATCTGTGTTGTTACTGCCCTTTGATCTGCATTCAGTAAAGTGTTATTAAAGAAGGCACGGCAATTTTTAACCTTTTTTAAATGTGTAAACATTATGTTTAGATAGTACTGCAATAAAAAAAAGTACTACAATAAAAAAAAGTACTGCAATAATATCGCACACCGCAATATTAAGCAACCCTGAATCACCGCAGGGGGAATTCCTCAACTGCGACAGCCCTAGTGTGTGTGTGTGCATCAATTAGGACATTTTGCTGGTCCTCACTTTAGTCCAGTTTTTCAGAGCTCTACTCGTTAGTTTTAGAGGTGTGGTGTGAATTAAGTTTTAGTTAGGGTTAAGATATGATCCCCAGTGAGTCGTGGTGGATGGCTGCTTATACTGCGCGCACACACACACACACACACACACACACACACACACACACACACACACACACACACACACACTATTTACCAACTAGTGTTTCTATGGTTACATTGTGATTTCTTAGTAAATATTCTATTTGGTGAGAGATAAACATTATTGTATTTATCCTAGTGAATCTATAATTAAACAGGTAAACTAGTAGTAGCACATTCAACGTCACAGAGAGTAAAGTGTTATTATCAGGAGAGGGAGAATGTTTAAGTGGGGTTAGCAGCAGTGTGCCAGCAGAGGCCACCACAGCTCAGAGTCTCGTTAAAGACACACAAAGGAACACTGATAGGATGTAGCATCTACAGACTATGCTAACCTCTACTCAGAATACCATCACAATTTAAATGATTGCTGCTTGACCAACACTGCTGGCTCAAGAAGCTCCCAAGTTCCCAAAATGCAATGCATGGAGCAAAACAACTGTAATATTCACTGAGACAAGAGAGCACCTACACTTAAGCAAAGCTAAACCAACCTGGTAAATAGGAACTACGGAATACCAGAGTTCCACTAGAACTAAAACTAACAGAAGTGTTTCGCTGCAGCCAAAATACACCAATTATGTTATAATTATGAAACGGTGCTAACTCCAGTGTGAGACTACACCATGTGTGCTCAAAGGACAACAACCCCAGACGTGACCTGACCTGAGTTTTTGCGCTCTGGTAGTGTTATTCTGCCGTCAGCGATGGAGTTCACTAGGTCCTGGAACTCGGCTGGAACCTCTGCCTGCTTCCAGCGCTCGTTATCCAGAAGAAGCCTGCAGGGAAACGAGATCAGGATGAACGGATCCACCAGGGAACAGTAGCTTCAATGAGCAGGACGCGGTCATCAAGGTTTTGCCGAAGAATAAAGATATGCATCTTTAAAAAACACCTGCTGTCTGTTCGACACACACGACCCAAAAACAGCTGCTTCCCAAACAAACTTCATCCTAAACTTCCATCGTCTGACAGCCAGTCTGACCTGGAGGTAAACAAGCTTCTGACTCATACCCAAGTTTGTTTTTGCGTTCTTCGTGGAAGCGGTGAACGAATCGGTTCGCTTGGCTCTGCAGCGCCCCCCTCAGGGAGACGCTTCGCCTGTTGCACACTTCCTCCGTGTCTCTGGCAAAAGCCTCCACCGCCTGGGAGAGACTCACAAACTCTGCTGAGCTCAGACGCTCCAGGGAGCCGTCCTGTCGGAGGAGACAGATTTTAGAGACATTAAACGAAACCTAAACCACTTACATCCCCCTGCCCTAAACCGTGGGACGTAAACACAGCGGCGTGCGCCACCTTGGCTCTGGCTGTGAGAACTTTAACGCAGCGGTCGTGGCTGACGTCAGAGGCCATGTACAGCAGCTCCTGGATGTTGTGGATCACACGGTTCAGCTCCGGCTCAGTAGGCATCATGTTCTCACTGGACCTGAACAGGAACACGGACTCTGGTAACTCTGGTTAATTGACAGCCATGTTTCTAAATGTTGTGAGACCTACAAGAAGTTCTGTTCTGGGATGGTAGAACCCTCTGAGGCAGCGGGACTGTCAGCGGTCTCGATGACGCCCGGCTGCATTCTGGAGCTCACGGTGGATCTTGGATCCTGGACGCACAGCTGTGAATCCTGCTGCCGGACTTCATTCAGCGCATCGCTGATGAACAGACCTTCGTGGGTCAGGTAAGCCAGCTCAGCCTGCCCCTGCGTGAGCGCTGGGCCCTGGGGGGCCTCTAAAACCGAAGCCCTTGAACTGGACTCGGCAAGGAGCAGATTCTTCTGGTTTGAGGCAAGAACCTCCAGAACAACGTTCCTGATCACGTTCAAAGTGGCCTAGCAGACAAACAGAAGAGACTTTCATGTATTCATCAGCCTTTAAATGAATGTTTCTTACCTTCTGCACTGCAACTGCTCAGTCTTTAACTTTGCATTTTTATTTTATTCTTACAACTAGTTTGTATTTTATTTCTCGTCGTCTTCCTCCGCTTATCCGGGTCTGGGTCGCGGGGGCAGCATCCCAACTAGGGAGCTCCAGACCGTCCTCTCCCCGGCCACCTCCACCAGCTCCTCCGGCAGGACCCCAAGGCGTTCCCGGACCAGATTGGAGATGTAACCTCTCCAACGTGTCCTGGGTTGACCCGGGGGCCTCCTGCTTGCAGGACATGCCCGAAACACCTCCCCAGGGAGGCATCCTGACCAGATGCCCAAACCACCTCAACTGGCTCCTTCCAATCCGGAGGAGCAGCGGTTCTACTCTGAGTCCCTCCCGAATGTCCGAGCGCCTCACCCTATCTCTAAGGCTGAGCCCGGCCACCCTACGGAGGAAACTCATTTCGGCCGCTTGTATCCGCGATCTCGTTCTTTCGGTCATTACCCAAAGCTCAAGACCATAGGTGAGGGTAGGAACGTAGATCGACCGGTACATCGAGAGCTTCGCCTTATGACTCAGCTCTCTTCACCACGACAGATCGGTTCGGCGTCCGCATCACTGCAGACGCCGAACCGATCCGCCTGTCGATCTCCCGATCCCTCCTACCCTCACTCGTGAACAAGACCCCGAGATACTTAAACTCCTCCACTTGAGAGTGGAGGAGTTTAAGTATCTCGGGGTCTTTTATTTCTGACTTCAAAATCTGCCGTTTCATGCTGTCACATTGATTTTAATGTTCTTGCTTCTGGAAAGCACATTGAATTGCCTGTGTGTGAAATGCGCTACACATATACGGTTAAACTCTGATGTTAGCCCAGGCGTGTATAGGGGGAGTAGAGGGAGGTAAAGACGGCTCTCCCTTGCCCTGCCTCCATCTAAAAGGCTAGCTTATCTCTGTAGTTATGCTGCTATAGGCTTAAGCCTGATTCATGCTTCTCCGTCTGCGTCAGTGCGGAGACACGCAACGCCATTATCCATCCTTGCGAAGGGCTCCGGCAGGCACGCAAGTACGTACGGAGTCGAGCTCTCTTTATTAAACATCCGTCGAACGAAATGGATTACGAAAGCTTGTGATTGGTCAGGACGCCGCTGTTTACAGCTCCGCCATTGCGCCTTCAAAAACATAAAGAGAGCTGAGGATAACTAGAGGCAGACACGGAGAAGCTTGAAAAATGCCTCGCGAAAAAACTCTAAAAACATGAATGTTTAATTCCCCGTGACTGGAGGAGTGAAAAGATGCGCAGCAAGCGTTTTATTTGTGGACGGAAATGACAGGAAACGTGGGTTTAGAGGTGGCGAGCGCATGAAGAGGTGGAGGAGAATGAGAGACAAATATGTCCGTGTTAAAAGTCTCTTATATACACAAAAAACACAATATAAACACACTATCTTGGACCGGATACATGACAGGATACCACAGAACAGTGCTACGCCCTCTGTTGTCCTGCCGGGGAATTGCTTTGCAACACTCTCCAGGAGACGGAGAAGTAAAAGAGCAAAACGCTTCCATCTATCCGTGCGTGTCTGTCCCTTGCGGAGCTGACGGAGAAGCATAAACCAGGCTTTAGACTGCTGGACCACTTTCCACACTCTACTACTTTCTTCTACAATCTGCTCTTTAACTGTATTATTTCCTGCTATTTCAGCTGTTAATTTTATTTTCTCTCCAAGTGTCTTGCTGCTACCCGTGACCCGACTCCAGATAAGTGGCTGAAAATGGATGGATGAATTATAATCCTGTAGGGATTAGAACAACTTAAAGAAGCTTCCGTCTGTCTGTAGAAACGCCGTGTGGTTAAATCTGGAACTGGATCTTAAGTGGACTGGAGTAGAGGATATTAATAAAAGGAGTGAACAAGGCTCTCTCTTTGAGACAAAGGGAATTTCTGCTTAAATGACTTCCAACTATTCTATTACATTTATTCTTTACTTTTATTTTTGCTCTGCTGTGTTTTTATTCTCGATCAGGTGTCGCTGATGTTAAATTTAGACAAAATTCTGTTCATAATATTTTAAATACGTTCATAAATGTAAAAGCTGAAATCTCCAGCTCAAAATTTTTATTTTACTATTTTCCCTCCTTTTGTTTCAGTATTTTACGGCCCTTTGGTGGGACAAGGCGGGACTTGGGCCTTTTCAACACATCGCCTGTGTGGTGGCTGTGGTTGGCACTAAATGCACCATGAACTATTACCGTGTGTTTCTCAGCAAACACTGTTACTTTTATATATATCCTCATGTTGTTGGTGCAGGGATATTTTGGCCTTGTTGTATTTTTGTGTCCCCTTTTTTCTCTCTCTTGATATCATTTATTGTTTATTTGTGTGAACCCCCTCCCCCCTTCTCTCTCCCCCTTTCCCTTACACTTCTGCCTTTGTGTCCGTTGGGATTTTAAACGACCAAAATATTTCTAAAAAATTAAGTTTCGGCGTCAGGAGCGATAACACTCCACCTGTGAGTGAAACTGCGAGGTTCGTCTTCGACATTCAGACATCAGTTCTGATTGGTTCCCAGCTGGACAGGACACGGTAAAAAAAAGAAAAAAAGTAAAGCTGAACTTGATCTTGTAGCAGACAGGTGGTCTCACCTTGATTCTCTGCAGGAAGAGAAGGAAACACTCAAAGATGGTTTTCAGCAGCTCAAACCACTGAGGAAAGGTCATCAGACGCATCTGGTCGGCCAGCCTTTAACACATCATGATCAACACAAGACAGGTGTGTTTGAACAAGATACAACTAGACCTGACTCAATAACAGTTGCTTCACGCCGGGCACACACCGGTCGCGGAAGCGCCGCGAAAATGGGACCGCCTTCATTCGGCGCCCTTGTTAAGTTATTCTATAGACAACATGGGCCGCCGAAGCGCCGCGAATCGCCTCGCGCCGGCGCTCCAGCCCGCGCCGTGCAGCGATCTTTTCGGCGTCTGCTCTATTTTTTCGCGAGCTGCGGGTGGACTGCGTCAATTCTGGCAGGAAGTCAAACCTAGACATAAGAGGCAGGCCGGTAAATTTAACAAAATAAAGCATTTCAAAATAAAATTCCGCAATAGTCAAATGTGTTCGTAATCAGACACTGCAGAAAAACCACACGAAAACACACACACATACACACACATTGAACCTGTGTGCGTGTGTGACCATGTGAAGGGGGGTGTGGTTTTGGGTGTCTTTTTTCCGGAGCAAACAGGACAGAGAGGCAGAAAGTCTGAGGCAAGCAGTTAGGATGGATGACTTTAAATTAATTATGGAAGTTGAGAAACACAAGGAGCTGTACGACCCCCGAAAAACACGATTATTTACGTACCCATTTCGGAAGAAACTGCTAGGATACAGCTGCAGAATTGGAGCGGGTTCCAAGAGATTCAACTGGCAGAAAGTAAGTAAGTAAGTAAGTAAGTAACTTTATTTGTATAGCACCTCTCACAGACAAAAAGGTCACAAAGTGCTTCACAAGTTAAAAGGCAACAACATATAAATACAGTAAAATACAGCCACAATATACATAGTGTCAAGTACAACCAATCCGAATGAGACTAAGTTTAAAATGCCTGGAGAAACAAATGGGTTTTAAGATTGCTCTTAAAAACATCAACTGAGTCGATTGAGCGTAAAGACAGAGGTAGCTCATTCCAGAGCCTAGGAGCGACGGCCTGGAATGAGCGATCTCCTCGTGTCCTGAATTGAGTACGTGGGACCATTAAAAGGTTTTGATCCATAGATCTCAGCCTGCGAGAAGGCGTGTAAGGGCAGAGCATGTCTCGAACATACAATGGAGCCAGACCATGCAGCGCTCTGAAAGTCAGCACAAGAATTTTAAAATTGATGCGAAATGTGATTGGAAGCCAATGAAGAGCTTTTAAAATGGGGGTAATGTGGGCCCTTCTGTTGTGAGAAACAACTCATACCATAGGTTCACACACACACACACACACACACACACACACACACACACACGCACGTACAAACACTCAAACGTAGAGGAAAAGAGCGGAGAAAAGGCAGAGGAAATGGAGGACACCAAGTGTTTAAAAGAAAAACTACAGCTGAGCCGAGGCGCGCCTCGACTGGGGCGCGTCTGATCTGAACTGAGGAGCGGCGAGCAGCGGCCGAATTTCGTGAGCGATTCGCTTCTAGGCGCTTCCGCGGCCGTTGTGTCCCCGGCGTTAATCCTCAAAACTTTAAAAAGAAAAGATTTTACTTACTTTGTGATCACTTCAGTATCAATTTGTTCTATGTCCATCAAGCTGTCAGCCACACACTGTAAAACGGGAGGAGAAACAACCACTCATCCTGTGTAGTTTAGACACAAAAGCCGTCGTTTAAGCTGTAGCTACCTGTGCTACGATTGCCTTAGCAGCTATGATCATCTCATCACTGTAGATATCCAGAAAGTCCAGCTTCCTCTGGCGCAGCAGACCGAACACCAGCGACTCCAGACGCTCCTTCAGACATAATAAAACTAGGACTTTGTCACAATGACCTAGTTAACCATTAAACAGTCATATTCTTTTTAAGTTTTGCATTGCTTTGTTGTCCACTTCATGACTTGGTGAGACACGTTGACAGCAGGGCTGTAGCGATGTAACAAAGTCATGTGGGTCGGAACCGCAGGCAAACAGCTGGCATAGGAGAGCAAAATGTCCATTTATTTTATATCTTTACAAGCTTTTATTTCTCTTACCAGCTATTAACTCGGATGTGCAGAAGGTGTCAAATAAACAGAGTGTGTGTGTGTGTGTGTGTGTGTGTGTGTGTGTGTGTGTGTGTGTGTGTGTGTGTGTGTGTGTGTGTGTGTGTGTGTGTGTGTGCAACAAATGCGACTGGTGTGTTTTCCCCTCATTCTGCCATTCCTACAAACCACATGAGTTTAGCCTTCAGGAGACAGGAAGTGTGTTTCACCCATAAGGCATGACAAAATAAAAGCAGGGTTTCCCCCAGAAAATGAGTAAAGTCTGGCGCTTCAGCCGGCGTGGGGGGGTGGGGGGGGGGGAAGGGTCGTGTGCTCCGTCCCGCAGCGCTCCTCTGTGGGGTGGGGGTGGGGTGGTTGCACACGTTCTGCTGCCGTTTCTCACCAGTATCAGCTGATAGAGAGCTCTAGTTTCGTTGCTCCGTTCGTGTCAGCGGACATGGTGGTCGGGGAGGGGGGGCGGGGCATGACGCTGAGCCTGACGGGTTATAAGGCGCCGGGAGAAACCCTGTAAAAGCGTGCTTGTAATGGTAAAGTGGCTAAATATGTATGGCTTTTGTCAAATAAAATACCTTTGTGTGATGGTTCTGAGCCAAGTTTAAGTTTGATTACTTGCACGGCCTTTTGCAAATCAAAACAACACATCCTACTCTGTGGTGACACCCGTGTGAAGATGTTGGGTTTCTTGCTAGGAAATAATGATATAAATATGAGACAGCAAGGCTTTACAGACCTTCTCCAGCACCTGCGGCTCCTCCTTCAGATTCCGGCTTAGATTGGAGCAAGCGTACATGCTGAACTCCTCAACCATCATCTTATCAATCAGCTTCTCCAGCTCACACAGCTGGGAGCCCAGATGTCTGCAAGACAAGGCACGTGCACACACACACACACACACACACACACACACACACACACACACACACACACACACACACACACACACACACACACACACACACACACACACACACACCAGTCTGGATGTCTGACAGCTGCAGCAGCTTTTACTCTGATCACTGAAAGCAGACATGAGGACACGAAGACATGAGGACATGAAGACATGAAGACAGGAGGACATGAAGACTTGAAGACACAAAGACATGAAGACATGAGGACATGAAGACTTGAAGACACAAAGACACGAAGACATGAGGACATGAAGACTTGAAGACACAAAGACACAAAGACACGAAGACATGAGGACATGAAGACTTGAAGACACAAAGACACGAAGACATGAGGACATGCAGACATGAAAACAGGACATGAATACATGAGGACATGAAGGCACGAGGACACGAGGACATGAAGACACGAGGACACGAGGACATGAGGACACGAAGACAGGAGGACATGAAGACAGGAGGACATGAAGACAGGAGGACATGAAGACATGAGGACATGAAGAAATGAAGACATGACATGAAGACACGAAGACACGAGGACACAAAGACACAAGGACATGAAGACACAAAGACACGATGACATGAAGACAAGAGAACATGAGGACATGAAGACATGAGGACATGAAGACAGGAGGACATGAAGACTTGAAGACACAAAGACACGAAGACATGAGGACATGAAGACAGGAGGACATGAAGACTTGAAGACACAAAGACACGAAGACATGAGGACATGAAGACTTGAAGACACGAAGACATGAAGACATGAAGACTTGAAGACACAAAGACACGAAGACATGAGGACATGCAGACATGAAGACAGGACATGAATACATGAGGACATGAAGGCACGAGGACACGAGGACATGAAGACATGAGGACACGAAGACAGGAGGACAGGAGGACATGAAGACAGGAGGACATGAAGACATGAGGACATGAAGACACGAAGACACGAGGACACAAAGACACGAGGACATGAAGACACAAAGACACGAAGACATGAAGACAAGAGAACATGAGGACATGAAGACATGAGGACATGAAGCAGGCGCGCAGATAGGGTGGGGGACGGGGGGGATCTGTGTCCCCCAGATTCAGATCGACCCCAAATCGTCCCCCCAACTAAGGCCAGAAAGAAACAAAATCGGAGGTTAAGCGCTAGAAGCTCCTTTTTCCAATTAAATTGAATGCAGCATGGCGTAAACAAACACCGACTCCAGAGGCGCCTAAGTGGTTGCTGCTAGGACGCAGGATGAAGCGAAAAAGGCGAGCAACGATTACTGCGTATTTAAAAAAGACCAACAGTGTAAGTAGGCGGGACCGATCTGTCTGTTTATGCGTGTTGGTTCTAGTTTCAGTACGTTGTTGTCAGTGTTGGGACTTACTCGTTAGAAGCACCAAAGCCTCATTGCTGACTTTAACAAGTCTCATCTACAAATATGATCCCTCATGAAGTTACTACTTTACACCAGAAGATAGTGGAGATGTGGAACCTTCAGGCTGAGCAAAGTTTGGGAGTTTTTAGAGCTTGAAAAATGCCTCCCGCCGAGAGGCTCCCAGTCGGGGAGAGGAGGAGATGTGCGCGGCATGAAGAGCACAAATATGAGATAAAACGTATAATTGCCGGCAGGTCTGGTCTTTGTTGGCTGATCACTTTGTCTGCTATTGACTGACTCCGATTATGAAGCAGAATATTGACTCTGATGAAGTAATTCACTCATCCAGCCGGGAAGATTGAGCTGCTGCAGCATCGGACAGCTGGTGCTGCACGAGAGGTGTGTGGAGTTTACAAGCTCCAAACGTTGGGTTTGATGTTGGTTTAGCCTTCTCTGGGACGTGATGGATGTAGAAATGATGGTAAAACACCGCAAACGTAACAGACGTAGCGACAATGTAAAAAAAAGCCGTAAAAAGAGGCAGATGCCGATGCGTTATGTATGGAAGTCAAGTGTGCCACATAATCATAAAAAGGTACAATGTAACATTTTAAAAGAGATTTATATATTTATATATAAATAAAAACTTTCCAAATATAATGAAAATTTCTAAATAACGTAAAAATACGAAGGAACATCTGTTGATCAGGCTGAAAAGTTTGGGAACCACTGCTCTAAGTGATAAGTGAATATTGTTTATTAAATATATTTTATGTGCAGTTTTTTAGGGTTTTTATGTTTTCTGTAAAGATCGGTTTGCTGAAAATCAGTTAATGTTTTGCATAAAGCATCAGGTTTTGGTTAGTAATTGATTGGAAGAATTAACGAATGACTGAATTAAATAGTGGGGCGCCTCTGTCAGTGCGCCCCAGAGCAGCTGTGGCTACATCGTAGCTTATCCCCATCAGTGTGTGAATGTGTGTGTGAATGGATGAATGATACACTGTAGTGTAAAGCGCTTTGGAGTCCTTACTCTGAGAGGCGCTATACAGGTGTGGATCATTTATCATTTATAGTGTTGATCAGGCAGAGCTTTGTTGCCAGCGTTCCGCTGCATAATGACTTCAAACACGTGTATAAAAGTGTTCGTTTTTACGTAAACCGTTGGATGAAATTACACAAACGGACTGAGCTCTAGTAAGGCGCTTGCAATAGTTTGTGTGTGTGTGTGTGTGTGTGTGTGTGTGTGGGTGGGTGGGGTACATTGGAACTTTGTCTCCCCCCAGTTTCAAAATCCTATCTGCGCCCCTGACACAAAGACATGAGGACATGAGGACAAGAAGACATGAAGACAGGAGGACATGAGAACATGAAGACATGAGGACATGAAGACATGAGGACAGGAGGACATGAAGACATGAAGACATGAGGACAGGAGGATAGGAGGACATGAGGACATGAAGACATGAGGACATGAAGACATGAGGACAGGAGGACATGAGGACAGGAGGACATGAGGACATGAAGACATGAAGACATGAGGACATGAAGACATGAGGACAGGAGGACATGAGGACATGAAGACAGGAGGACATGAGGACATGAAGACATGAGGACAGGAGGACATGAGGACATGAAGACATGAGGACATGAAGACATGAGGACAGGAGGACATGAGGACATGAAGACATGAGGACATGGAAGACATGAGGACATGAAGACATGAGGACATGAAGACATGAGGACAGGAGGACATGAAGACAGGAGGACATGAGAACATGAGGACATGAAGACATGAGGACATGAGGACATGAAGACATGAGGACATGAGGACAGGAGGACAGGAGGACAGGAGGACATGAGGACATGGAAGACATGAGGACATGAAGACATGAGGACATGAAGACATGAAGACATGAGGACATGAAGACATGAGGACAGGAGGACATGAGGACATGAAGACAGGAGGACATGAGAACATGAGGACATGAAGACATGAAGACATGAGGACAGGAGGACATGAGGACATGAAGACAGGAGGACATGAGAACATGAGGACATGAGGACATGAAGACATGAGGACATGAAGACATGAGGACAGGAGGACAGGAGGACAGGAGGACATGAGGACATGAAGACATGAGGACATGGAAGACATGAGGACATGAAGACATGAAGACATGAGGACAGGAGGACATGAAGACAGGAGGACATGAAGACATGAAGACAGGAGGACATGAGAACATGAGGACATGAAGACATGAGGACAGGAGGACATGAAGACATGAAGACAGGAGGACATGAGAACATGAAGACATGAGGACATGAAGACATGAGGACATGAAGACATGAGGACATGAGGACATGAAGACATGAAGATATGAGGACAGGAGGACATGAGGACATGAAGACATGAGGACATGAGGATAGGAGGACATGAGGACATGAAGACATGAAGACATGAGGACATGAGGACAGGAGGACATGAGGACATGAAGACATGAGGACATGAAGACATGAGGAAAGGAGGAAAGGAGGACATGAGGACATGAGGACATGAAGACAGGAGGACATGAGGACATGAGGACATGAGGACATGAGGACATGAGGACAGGAGGACATGAGGACATGAAGACATGAGGACATGAAGACATGAGGACAGGAGGACATGAGGACATGAAGACAGGAGGACATGAGGACATGAAGACATGAAGACATGAAGACATGAGGACAGGAGGACAGGAGGACATGAAGACATGAAGACAGGAGGACATGAGAACATGAAGACATGAGGACATGAAGACATGAGGACATGAGGACATGAAGACATGAGGACATGAAGACATGAAGATATGAGGACAGGAGGACATGAGGACATGAAGACATGAGGACATGAGGATAGGAGGACATGAGGACATGAAGACATGAGGACATGAAGACATGAGGACATGAGGACAGGAGGACATGAGGACATGAAGACATGAGGACATGAAGACATGAGGAAAGGAGGAAAGGAGGACATGAGGACATGAGGACATGAAGACAGGAGGACATGAGGACAGGAGGACATGAGGACAGGAGGACATGAGGACATGAAGACATGAGGACATGAAGACATGAGGACAGGAGGACATGAAGACAGGAGGACATGAGGACATGAAGACATGAGGACAGGAGGACAGGAGGACATGAAGACATGAAGACATGAGGACAGGAGGATAGGAGGACATGAGGACATGAAGACATGAGGACATGAAGACATGAGGACAGGAGGACATGAGGACAGGAGGACATGAGGACATGAAGACATGAAGACATGAGGACATGAAGACATGAGGACATGAGGACATGAAGACAGGAGGACATGAGGACATGAAGACATGAGGACAGGAGGACATGAGGACATGAAGACATGAGGACATGAAGACATGAGGACATGAGGACATGAAGACATGAGGACATGGAAGACATGAGGACATGAAGACATGAGGACAGGAGGACATGAAGACAGGAGGACATGAGAACATGAGGACATGAAGACATGAGGACATGAGGACATGAAGACATGAGGACATGAGGACAGGAGGACAGGAGGACATGAGGACATGGAAGACATGAGGACATGAAGACATGAGGACATGAAGACATGAAGACATGAGGACATGAAGACATGAGGACAGGAGGACATGAGGACATGAAGACAGGAGGACATGAGAACATGAGGACATGAAGACATGAAGACATGAGGACAGGAGGACATGAGGACATGAAGACAGGAGGACATGAGAACATGAGGACATGAGGACATGAAGACATGAGGACATGAAGACATGAGGACAGGAGGACAGGAGGACATGAGGACATGAAGACATGAGGACATGGAAGACATGAAGACATGAGGACAGGAGGACATGAGGACATGAAGACAGGAGGACATGAAGACATGAAGACAGGAGGACATGAGAACATGAGGACATGAAGACATGAGGACAGGAGGACATGAAGACATGAAGACAGGAGGACATGAGAACATGAAGACATGAGGACATGAAGACATGAGGACATGAGGACATGAAGACATGAGGACATGAGGACATGAAGACATGAAGATATGAGGACAGGAGGACATGAGGACATGAAGACATGAGGACATGAGGATAGGAGGACATGAGGACATGAAGACATGAGGACATGAAGACATGAGGACATGAGGACAGGAGGACATGAGGACATGAAGACATGAGGACATGAAGACATGAGGAAAGGAGGAAAGGAGGACATGAGGACATGAGGACATGAAGACAGGAGGACATGAGGACATGAGGACATGAGGACATGAGGACAGGAGGACATGAGGACATGAAGACATGAGGACATGAAGACATGAGGACAGGAGGACATGAGGACATGAAGACAGGAGGACATGAGGACATGAAGACATGAAGACATGAAGACATGAGGACAGGAGGACAGGAGGACATGAAGACATGAAGACAGGAGGACATGAGAACATGAAGACATGAGGACATGAAGACATGAGGACATGAGGACATGAAGACATGAGGACATGAAGACATGAAGATATGAGGACAGGAGGACATGAGGACATGAAGACATGAGGACATGAGGATAGGAGGACATGAGGACATGAGGACATGAAGACATGAGGACATGAGGACATGAAGACATGAGGACATGAGGACAGGAGGACATGAGGACATGAAGACATGAGGACATGAAGACATGAGGAAAGGAGGAAAGGAGGACATGAGGACATGAGGACATGAAGACAGGAGGACATGAGGACATGAGGACAGGAGGACATGAGGACAGGAGGACATGAGGACATGAAGACATGAGGACATGAAGACATGAGGACAGGAGGACATGAGGACATGAAGACAGGAGGACATGAGGACATGAAGACATGAAGACATGAGGACAGGAGGACAGGAGGACATGAGGACAGGAGGACAGGAGGACATGAGGACATGAAGACATGAGGACATTAAGACACGAGGACAGGAGGACATGAAGACATGAAGACATGAAGACATGAGGACATGAAGACATGAGGACATGAAGACATGAAGACATGAGGACATGAAGACATGAGGACATGAAGACAGGAGGACATGAGAACATGAGGACATGAAGACATGAGGACATGAAGACATGAGGACAGGAGGACATGAGGACATGAGAACATGAGGACATGAGGACATGAAGACATGAGGACATGAGGACATGAAGACATGAGGACAGGAGGACATGAGGACATGAAGACATGAGGACATGGAAGACAGGAGGACATGAAGACATGAGGACATGAAGACATGAAGACATGAGGACAGGAGGACATGAGGACATGAAGACAGGAGGACATGAGAACATGAAGACATGAGGACATGAAGACATGAGGACATGAAGACATGAGGACAGGAGGACATGAGGACATGAAGACATGAAGACATGAGGACATGAGGACAGGAGGACATGAGGACATGAAGACAGGAGGACATGAGAACATGAGGACATGAGGACAGGAGGACATGAAGACTAGGCTTGCATCTGCTTGACTGAATCTTTTCAGTTTACAATCACACGAGACAAACATTAACATTACCACTGAACTGACGAGGGGAAAGTTGGATTTAAAAAAAAAATCTGCAGTCAAGAACTCATAAGCTCCTCCCACCTGAAGCAGTGGACCCCCTGCAGCTCCTGCTGCAGCACCTCCTTTGTTGTGGCAATGAGCTCCAGCGCTCCGACGAACTCCAAGGTGGAGAGCAGCAGCTGAACGGTAGGCTGTGTCTGATGTACCGCCGCCATCAGTTTCAGCTTGTTGTGCAGCTTCACACAGTTGTTTCGAGTCAGAGCAGAGCGGAGGGCCCAGAGAGGCCCCTGGCACATGACCCGGTCTATGGCCACAGTCCGGCTCCGTAAAACAGCCACCGCCTTCTGCGTCTCCTGCAGACGGTCCTGCAGCTCGTGCTGAGAAGACATAGCGTGGAAAAACGCCTCCGAGCGAAGCGAAATCTGTTGAGCGATGCTGACCTCAACCACGTCCAGGTAGTGACTGAGCTGGGGGAGGACAATAAAACTTGTTACACGTTGATCCTCTCCACAATGATCTGCTGCTCGTTGCTGAAGGTTCACCTTCTCCTGCAGCAGTTTGGAGGAGGCTACATCTCTGCTCTTCCCGCCTGCACTGTGGAAGTGGGACCAGGGCAGCACCGAGTTGAAAGTCGCTGGGTCCTCCAAAGCAAAGTCCGGCTTCATAAAGACCTGAAAGGTAAGACAGACCTCAGTGAGTGGAGGGGACGCCGCTAAGCTTCACCAACATCGTTAACTTTGTAGATTTATTTTCCTAAAAGTGTTTTCTGGTTCACAGTTTTTCCAAAATAAAACTAGAGATTCGCTTCGTTTGGTTTTTCTTGTACAAATCTGACCTGCGGATAATAATTCTGCTTTCTGTAAAACAACTATACAAAACAATTAGAGACCAATAACGTAAACATTCAGACTCGGGACACAAAAACGTCCACATGTACTTTGTTTCTCTGTTGGGGTGCGTTAGCACCAAAGTCTAGCTTCTGCCAGCTCAAGCGTGGAGACGTCTTTGTCTCGGACGTTTCCGGTTCAGATTCTGCGTCAGGACAACAGAGCAGGTGTTTCTCAGTGTCAAGCAACCTCGCCTTGATGCCATGGTCCCGTCTCGGTTGCAAGGGAGATGCGTCGTCAGGAACCGCCAGGGCGTGTTCCAATGTTCATCTGCTGCAGAGGTGTCCGTCCTCTGTTAGTCAGCCGTTTAGCCAACTGAACACCGATACACGGGAGGCGTCTTGTTGCCTTCTGGCGGTCAAAACGTCCCCAGTATACAGCGCACTATTTTCAACCGGATGGCGGATCAGGAGCCAGCAGCTAATTTGGGGTCAAATTTCCAGTTTAAATGTAAGTCGGCTAATTTTAGCGGTCGGGCCGATAACTAAAATGTTTTAGATCACCTGCTTATACTGAGCCAGGATCCTCTGGAGGGTTCTTCCTGTGAAAAGGGAGTTTTCCTCTCCACTGTTGCTACATGCTTGCTTAGGCCCTGTCCACACGTAGCCGGGGATCTGCCAAAACGTAGATATTTTTCTACGTTTTGGCCTGTCATCCACACGAAAACGGAGTTTTTTCACACGAAAACGGATCTTTTTAAAAACTCCGGCCAAAGTGAAGATCTGCGTTTTCTCCGTTTTGGGTGTCTGCGTGTGGACAGACAAAACCGGAGTTTTAAGGTCCGCAACGTCACTTTCCGCGACAAAAAAATGCTGACATCACGTGTGCGACCTGTGTTTACACTAGCCAACAGCATGGATGCCCTCAGAGCTGCGCTCGCTTTATCAATTGTCCAAGCGCTTTCTGCTTGTTTGTTTTTGCAAGTGGAATTACTGCTCCTTGCGGAAGACCACAGACGAAGGACGAGGTTAAGAACGGGGGAAGTACTGCCGCCTACAGGTCTGGCATGTCCTTAACAACGTATTTATCCGGGTACGTGTGGACAGATTTTTTTTTTAAACGAGGTGGTGTGGATGCAAGTTTTTGGAGGGGCGGATATTCGTCTTTAAAAAAACCCGGCTACGTGTGGACTAGGCCGTAGTATGAGGATTGCTGTAAAGACTCTGACACTAGTCAGTGACTCGATGCAATTTGCTGGGTTCCTTATATGGGAAACTTTTTCCTGATTGGCTTAATGAACTGACCTGTATTGGAGTGTTTACTGTGTGAGGTGCCGTGAGACGACTCGTCGTGATTTGGCGCTTTATAAATAAATTTGAATTGAATCCAAAGCAGTTATCTGTGGTTGGTTGCTGCAGCTTCGGTGGCTAGCAGGTAGTAACGTGCTCATTTAATTTAACCTATACACAATTTAAAAAGTAAAAGGCTCATTAAACATCTATACTGAAACTAACATGAATAAAATATAACATTGCCTTGCATGTCACCTGAAGCAGGTCTGTCCCACTGAACCGTTTTTTGTTTTTTTGACCCAGGACGGACACTGTCCTCGTGAGCAAGTGTCCCTGGCACTGAGAAACACCCGGTGTGTGGCGCTCTTCTGTGGGCGGTTCTGCCACCATCAGCGAAGAGCTCACCGAACAAAAGGAAAGAGGAGCTTACCTTGGGGACTTGATCCAGTTCAGATCTGGATTTATCTGCAGAAAAATAAAAAAAAAGCTCAGACACCTGTCATGTGATCCGTTTCGTAAGATAACGCTTTCAGTACACCGAGACTGTAAAGCGTTGTGAATAAAAACAAAAGCAAAAGATGAGCACAAAGAAGGCGGTATCAGATTTGTCGTGTAGAACAAAGCAAACCCAGCTTCACAAGGCTGCCGTTTCATTAGAACGTGTGAGCGAAAGCAACGGCTGGGTTTACCAAACGCTCTCTGTAATAAAGCCGCAATGCCAAATTTGGAAAACAAACGAGCTTAATACATATTTTTCATGCATCTTCACAACATTCTAACATAGTATATCTATAAATATACCGGTGCTGGTCATAAAATTAAGAGTATCGTGACTAAATTGATTTATTTCCGTAAATCTATTCAAAAAGTTAAAATTTGATTTTAGATTCATTCATCACACACAGACTGATATATTTCAATTGTTTGTTTCTTTTCATTTTGATGATTATACCCGACAACTAATAGAATTCCCAAATTCTGTATCTCAGAATATTATAATATTGCGAAAAGGTTCAATTTTGCTGACCCCTGATGCCACACCAACTGTCTAACTCAAAACACCTGCAAAAACCTTTAAATGGTCTCTCAGTCTAGTTCTGTAGGCTGCACAATCATGGGGAAGACAGCTGACTTGACAGTTGCCCAAAAGACGACCATTGATACCTTCCACAAGGAGGGCAAGACACAAAAGGTCATCGCTAAAGAGGCTGGCTGTTCACAGAGCTCTGTGTCCAAGCACATCAGTAGAGAGGTGATGGGAAGGACAGGATGTGGTAGAAAAAAGTGTACAAGCAGTCGGGATAACTGCACCCTGGAGAGGATTGTGAAACAAAACCCATTCATAAATGTGGTGGAGATTCACAGAGTGGACTGCAGCTAGAGTCAGTGCTTCATGATGTATGAAGACCTGGGTTTCAGCTGTCGCCTTCCTTGTTTCAAGCCACTCTTGAACAAGAGACAGCATCAGAAGCATCTCACCTGGGCTGAAGACAAAACGGACTGGACTGCTGTTGAATGGTCTAAAGCAGTGTTTCCCAACCCTGGTCCTCAAGGCACACCATCCTGCATGTTTTCAATGTTGCCCTATGAAACACCAGTGTTTCCCTGCTGCCACACACCTGACTTAAATGGATGAGTGATTAACGGGCATCTGCAGCACTTGATGTCCTCTTGAGGAGGAAATGCAAGTCAGGTAAGCTGGAGCAAAGACATGGAAAACAGGTCAGTGCCCTGAGGACCAGGGTTGGGAAAAACTGGTCTAAACTTATGTTCTCTGATGACAGTAAAGTTTGCATTTCCTTTGGAAATCAAGCTCCCAGAGTCTGGAGGAAGAGAGGAGAGGCACATAATCCACGTTGCTTGAGGTCCAGTGTAAAGTTTCTACAGTCAGTGATGGTTTGGGGTGCCATGTCATCTGCTGCTGGTGGTCCATTGTGTTTTCTGAGGTCCAAGGTCAACACAGCCGTCTACCAGGAAGTGTTAGAGCACTTCATGCTTCCTGCTGCTGACCAACCTTATGAAGATGCAGATTTCCTTTTCTAACAGGACTTGGCACCTGCACACAGTGCCAAAGCTACCAGTACCAGGTTAAGGACCATGGTATCCCTGCTCCTGATTGGCCAGCAAACCTGCCTGACCTTAACCCCATAGACAATCTATGTGGTAATGTGGAGAGGAAGATGCAACACGCCAGACCCAACAAGTCAGAAGAGCTGAAGGCCACTATCAGAACAACATGGGCTCTCCTAACACCTGAGCAGTGCCACAGACTGATGGACTCCATGCCACGCCGCATTGCTGCAGTAATCAGACCAAAGGAGCCCCAACTAAATGAGTGCTGTACACGTTTATACTTTTTAGTTGGCAAACGTCCTTTTTTTTTTGGAATTGACCTTAATTGATATTATAATATTCTGAGATACTGAATTTGGGATTTTCATTACTTGTCAGTTATAATCAACATAAAAAAAATACATTTGAAATATATGTGTGTGTAATGAATTAATCTAACATAGAAGTATCACTTTTTGAATGGAATTACTGAAATAAATTTACTTGATAATGATATTCTAACTTTA